AGTAGTAATAATAATAATAATAATAATAATAATAATAATAATAATAATAATAATAATAATAATAATAATAATAATAATAATAATAATAATAATAATAATAATAATAATAATAATAATAATAATAATAATAATAATAGAAATAGAAATAATAATAATAGAAATAATAATAAATATTTATTAAATAAGTTATTTTCTTTAGTAATAAGATTAATTAATAATTTTATAATAGTTTTAATAATAGCTTTAGTAATAACTTTAATAATAGTTTTAATATTATTAATTTCTAGTTATTATATCTTTTTAACTTTGTTAATATTATTATTTATTACTTTTAATACTAATAAGTTATATTACTTATTTATAAAATTTATTTATAACTAAAACTATTAAGTAATAACTTTAATTATAAGTTTATATATATTATTATTATTATAAAACTTTTTTTCTTATATTTATTTTATTTTAAAAGTTAAAGTTATTATTATTCCTCTTAATTAAGTTTATTTTACTTCTATTAAAACTAATAAGAGATTTAGTTCACTTTTTTATAATTAGCTAAAAGCTCCTTATTATAGCTATTTTATTAAAAGTAATATGTTTTAGATTGAATTAAAATTAATATAATATAGTTATTATTAATATTATTATATACTAAGAAGTAAGATTTATTAATTTTATCTTTTCTCTATTTATTTCTTAAAATAAGTTTATATCATAACTTCTCTATAAATATTCAAAATATTGATAAAGAATAAAAAGGACTAAAGATACTAAATAAAATATTAATCTCTCTATTACTTTTAATACTATTCTATAAACTTATTTCTAACTTAAATCCTTTTCAAAAGTATTAACTAATTAGTTTAATAAAAATAATATCTCTATAAGTATTATAAAGATAATTGAGAATTATATAATAAATTACTAATTAAATAAAATATTATAGATTTAATAACTAACCATAGTTTATACTTATTTCTTTATAATATTAAAAGCTAATAGATTTTTAAATAAATAATATAATACTTCTAAATAATATAATACTTCTAGTTAATATTATTAAATAAAAACTTCCAATTAAAGTAACTAATAATATTTACTCTCTTATTACTTCTCTTACTTAATTACTTGATAATAATAATAATAATAAGTTTTAATAAATAAAGATAGGTTTTTCTTACTTCTTTATATAAATATAAAGATCTTAATTTTAATAATTAGTAGTAGTTTATCTAATAAACAAAATATACTTCTAATATTATAGCTAAAGAGAAATATATTATAATTAAAGTATTATAAAGTTAACTAACTATTAAAATTAAATTATTTTAATTTTATATTAATATTATATTCTTTTAAGTACAAAAGCTCTTAATAATATTGAAGTTAAATATAACTATAGCTATAAACCTAACTTTATAATAAGCTTTCCTCTCTATTAATATCTCTATTTATTTTAATATAAATACCACAGTAATAAAAGTAATATAAAATAGTATTAATATTTTTAGCTATTTTAAAAGTATAATTATAAAAAGAATCTATAAAGAAAGTATTTATTACTTTAATCTATTTATATTTTATATATAACTTCTATAAGTAGTTTTTAAATTTACTAAAAAACGCCTTAATAAGGTTAAGATCTAATAAGTATATAAATAAATATAGTAACTTAATACTGAATTATTAATAAATATCTTTTAACTACTTCTAGTTATATTATACTATATTATTTATAACTAAAATTAATTTTAAATTAAAAAACTTCTCTATTTTTAGTAGTATAAATTTCTTAATTTAAAATAAGAAGCTATTAACATTTATATACTTCAGATAAATAATATAATTGAAAAAAACTATTAATCATAATAGCTAATAAAGTATGGTATTATATACCTCTTTTTATAACATTTTACTTTAATAGCTTTATACTTTTTAGTATTTAACTTATATATTTAATACTACTTTAATAATTAATACTACTTTTATTAATAAAATAAATATATTAGTAGTATAATTATAAATTAATATAATATATACTTCTTATATAGCTTAGTTTTATTACTAAATAATATATTAAATCTTCTTTTTCTTTTATTAGATCTTTTTAAAGTAATGAGAGATTATTAATATAGATGTAGATAAATTAAACTCTTCTATAAGAAAACTTTAAACTTTATTAAAATAATAATTAGTTTTATTATATAAAAGCTTAAAAATTGCATTTTTATAGATTAATAATATTTTATAATACTTAAAACTTATTAGTTAATATAGTTTCAATATATTTCTAAATACTTCTTATTATTAATAATAAATTTAAACTATTAAGATATTATACTTAATAAACTTTGTCATTAATTTATTATTAAAATAGTATATAAACAGTAACTTTTTTAACTAAGTTTATTACTTGCTACTTAATAGCTTTAGTATTATTTACTCTATAATATTAATATAATTTTGATTAAATATAGTATTAATAAAGAGAATAAATAATAAGAAAACTATATTATATATACTTTATATTACTAAATAGATTTAATAATAAGATCTTTAGTATTAATATATTTAAAGTACTTTATTATTAGAAAATAAAATATAATATTATAAATATTATATAATAAAAAGAAGCTTATTAATAATACTAATAGTTAATTTATATTTAGATTTTATAATAATATATATTAATTTATTAATAATACTAACTAAACAAATAATAACAATATTATAAGTTTTAAATTAATATACTTAGTAATAGTTTTAGCTCTTTATAATACTTTAATATATATACTTAAGAGGAGTTAACCTTATAAAAACGAAAATAATAATAATATATAGATTCTAATAAAAAGAAGCTCTTCTAAAGCTATTGATAATTAATTTATATAATAATTTATATTACTTAATATATTTTTAGCGTTAGTACGTATGAATAGGTAAAAGTAGTATAGAAGGGTAGTAAATCGCACACTAATAGGGGTTTTAGGTAAGGTAAATGCAAATAAGTGCGTCTTAAGGAGATCTATAGGATGGAGTAGGCTATGCTATATTCTACGCTAAGGACAAAAAAAATAAAGAGCATAAAAGCCTTGATCTTGGTTTGAGATCCTATGCAAAAGTTTGTCACTAGTTGTTGCATCTAGTTGCATACTATTAAGTTTGAGATGATCCGCAATAGCGGGACAAGACGATTAAATACGCACTATACTAGCCAAAAGAAATGGAATTGTCATTCGTTCCTAAGCAATTTAAATCAAGCCTGAAGATGCAATAAAAACGAAAGATGCGTCAAAATGGCAAAAGAAATGGACGGGCAGGTGATCGAAACCTGGACCTTCCGCAGACGAAGTTGCAATGAAGATGCAAAGCGGACGCTCTACCACTGAGCTACACGCCCAACGATGGAGACTCTTGCTAACAAGCTGACCCATCTAGCTCAGCGGGGCTGGCTGGCCGGGGCGGAGGTTGTGGTGGGGTCGTCGCACTCAGCACACCTACCCGGTGGGGGAGGATGAGCTGTGCCCGGTGTTGAGTAACATACGGTCGGAGGCAGTGGAAGGGCAAGTAAGATGAACGGGCAGTCGAACGGGGCAGAATGCAAGAAAGTTAAGACGAAGGGAGGAAAGCTGATGGTTTTGGTTTTGGTGGCGATTGGCGACGGCAGAGCGTGGTGACTCGCACCGAGGTTCATATGAGATGAGACGGAATTTCGACGTTGAAGACGCAGGCAAACGAAATCCAGCAAAATGAATAAGTAAGAATAGAACGGAAATAGGTGCAGGCAAGGCTTGATATATCTCTTGAACCTGGTCATGTCAAGGGACAAACGAAGAGTTAGATGGTTTCTCGCTTGCTTGCAGTTCTCCTAGCAGCGGTCTCCCGCGTGGCAAACGCGAATACCTGCTAAAACCAACGATGCAATCACTGCTTTGCCTCGTCCAACTTCGACATGAATACCCAGTCAAAAAGTCTTGGACGTTTTCCTGTTTCTCCAACGCATAGCACGCTAGTAGCAGCATGAACATCGAGACTGCGCACAACCCGGGTTTACTGGTCGAGAAAATTGGACGGTGCGGCGGCCCTGAAGCCAGCTTGGAAACGTCAGGATCCTTCCTTCTTCCAGGGCCGTTCCACAGAAGGACGGACGCCAACGAAGAATTGCCTCATCCATCCTGCTGGGAAAACACAGCTCATCTCTCAACTAAACCACTGCATCTCAAGTCAATCGAACCAAAAAGTTCTCTTGGGAAGCCCAAAGTGCACCATCTGTCAGAGGTTCCGCGCTCATTCCCGGATTACCAGCCCAAGGTCTGTGATCCACCGCCCGTAGACGCACACAGAAAACCTCCCCCGCCGCTGCCGGACTCCGAATCTTCGGCCCGCAAGCCCACCATCCCTCCCAGGTCCTCATCAAAAAACACGGCCGCCGCCCGGTAAACGGCACCCGCCTCAACACCAATCCAAACCTCGGACATTGAAAGCCGAGGAGGTTCATCTCATATTCCACTAACCGAAACCATCCAACAAAAGGTGCAATGGCAACCTCAAAACTCCCCGTCGAGACCCTGCCCACATGGGCCATGTTCAACGACGTCGACCTCGTCGACGTCGAGGCGCGCGAGATCCCCGGCTGCGGGCTCGGGCTGCTCGTGAACAAGGAGCTCAGCCGCGAGGAGGAGACGTTCGACATCCCGACGCTGCTCAGGATACCGCACGAGCTGGTGCTCTCCGCCGAGGCCGTCGAGAGCTACGCCAAGGTGGACAAGAACTTCCGCCAGCTGCTTGATGCGTGCGGGCACAAGGTTAGGGCGCGCAGACCTCAAATCTCATGATGAACAAGATGAGAATCAGTTGTGCTGACGTGCTTGAGCGGGGGAAAGTCTACACGGCATGATATTTGCTTGTTTCTGTTGACGCAGATGGTGCTGTCGGATAGGCCCAAGACGACTATGAAGGGTGGCGTGTCGACGCCGTGGACCGAGTATGTCAAGTTTCTACCGCCGCAGGTGCCCGTTACGACGCTCTGGACTGAGCAGGAACGTGAAATGCTGGTTGGAACATCACTTGAGGTAAGCTCATGAGGCTTTCCAGTCTTGGACTTCCGTTCTTCATAAGCATCACACCATGCCGTAACTGGCCATGCATGCAGACACACAAACACATACTTCCTCAACATACCGACCAACAAGCCAAGAAGCTTGCGGCTGAAGAAGACTAGGCATACTTGAGGTATATCAGGATCACGTTCTGACAAACAGCTAGTCGGCCACCGCTGCCAAGATCGTTACTCTGACCGACGAATTCGATGAGCTCCGCGAAACCTCAGAAGCCCTTCCCTTCTGGAACGAACTCTTCTGGGAATCCGACAAGGTATCCCTCATCGACTGGGCCCGTGTCGACGCCTGGTTCCGCTCCCGTTGCCTGGAGCTTCCCAAGTCAGGCGAGGCCATGGTCCCGGTGCTGGACCTGGCGAACCACTCAGCCCAGGCCAACGCGTATTACGAAGAAAACAGCAAGGACGAGGTGGTGCTGCTCCTGCGACCGGGATGCAGGGTCTTGTCTGGGGATGAGATGACAATCTCGTACGGTGACGCAAAATCCGGGGCAGAGATGCTCTTCAGCTATGGGTTCATCGACCCCGCGTCTGCCGCCGACCGCATCACGCTGCCCCTGGCGCCTCTCGAAGACGACCCGCTGGGCAAGGCGAAGCTGCACATCTTTGGCGGCGCCCCGAGTGTGGAGTTTGACCGGACGAATGGGACGCTCAGCTGGAAGAGCCCTTTCGCCTACTTCCTGTGTCTGAACGAGGAAGACGGCCTTGACTTTCGCGTGCTGCAGGACACCGGGGGATCACGGGAGCTAAAAGTCTTTTGGCAGGAGGAGGACGTGACCGACACGACGAGGTCTTTCGAACAGCACATTGACGGTCATCCCCTCGCTCAGATCTTTCGTCTGAGAGTGGTTACCGTCTTGCAGGATCTCGTCGCCGGCCAGCTGGAACGGCTGGCCACGGGCATGTCCCTAGACGACCTTGACGCATCGCTCAGTGAAGGAGGTCTCATTTGCGGGGCGTGCATCACCGCCGCTGCCACGTTAAGGGAGCAAGAGACCAGCCTGCTGGAAGCCGCTATGAAGACTTTGGAAGACCAGGTGAGTGGTTCGCGCAGTTTCTTCAGTCGTTGGCGTCGCTGTCAGTGTCAGGGCTGCAGTGTAAACATACGATGCTCTGCCCATTCCCCGCCTAAGGCGTTAGTCCTCTTTTGAGCCTCCTGCATTCCTTCTGGGGATTCGCTGCCGCTGCCCCAGCATTTGATCTTCCCCGAGTCCCGTCTCAACTGCTTTTGCGTGCTTGTTGTCCTTCCCCCGCGCGCTTGTATGGTGCCAAGACTAACAAGGATGGGCCTCGTTGCCCCAACCTTGCAGAAAACACAACTTCTCGCAGACGAAAACGTGGTGGCTTATCTCGGATCGATGGAAGTTGCCCAAAACGAACTAGTGGAGGCGGAGGCGTCCAATGACGAGGAGGACTTCAGTTGAAGAGGGAGGGATAGGCGAAGCCATGCGGCCGGGTCGATCCCATTCGGCACTCAATCGCCCAAGTGCGAACATTCTCTGTCAGGCAGACCCTATCGTCGCGGGGTAGTTTCTTACTCATTGTAAGCCGTTACGAAGCAAGGCAATTGGAGAGCGAGAATATGCGTGGACGGCACGGAGTAATGCGAACGGCCTTATCCTGATCCCCCTGTAGACTTGTTCGAAACGATGCTGCTGTGCTGTCACTCCGACATCTTTTCGTCCATGGCGCATGGCACACGGGATAGTTCCAACACCGATCTCATTCCCGAGAGGTGATTGAAAAAGACATGGCGAGGACCATTCTCCGATTTACCCCGCGTCAAGCTGTTACCTCGACTTCTTTGACAACCCGCGCGATGTCAGGGCCCAACAGATGACAGCAAGCCACAGTGCCGTTACCCGACGTCGTCGGCAGCCACACCCAAAAGCGATGTCTCAGTGCAACAATGTCTTCCGATGTCCTCAATGAGGCACGAACGGAGACTTGGCAGCTCGTGGTCGTACCTACATTCAAAAGGAAGATCGACATTGCTTGGCCGCGTTCGGAACGGACCTCTCTTAGAATATATTCGACCCGCGATCCCGTGCAGCGAGAGCAATGTCCATGGGAGGAAGGTGGCATTTTGCCTGAAATCAAGCCTTCCCCAGAACGCTGTACAAAGTAAGAAACACTCGTGTTTTAGGCAGGGAGCCGCGGGGCAGCGACCATGCTGAGCTGTGGGAGGGCGAGATCCGCGGTGCACCCCTGGACCCTGTGCAGCTTGAAGGAGTGGATAGGTCTCGCCCTGTCCTTGCATGAAGGAGCTGCCACGCTGAAGCGCGGCAGTCTGCCTTGCATCGCAACAGGACGTCTCAACACAAATGGGATTTTCTGTTCCTAGTGTGCCCGACTTTGCAGCTCAACGGATGATGGGTTTCGAAAGATGCATCTCCCCCGCGGCAGCGGAAGGCGGGCTTGGTGATACTGCCGCGCGCCAGTGGGGATCGCTCCAACGGTGGAGCTGGGGTCGAAGGCTTGCGGGAGGAGAGCGTCATCCTCTCCTCGGTCGCCTGCGCTAGCTGACCTTGATCTACGGGGTATGGGGTAGTGTACGGGGTGCCGTTACTTGGCTGACTAGCTGGTGCTGCAACGCAATTCCAGATGTCCTCTTGTCATTGTCTGAGGCGAACTTATTTGACATGACAGGATGTCTTAAATCATCCGATACCGATAATGGCCTTGTTTTAACTTTTCCACAAATACCATTGCTCTGGGATGGGATTGTTTTGGGAGATTTGACGAGACATGTCCGCCTTCTTTCCGAATGTGGACCGAGAGTCTGTGTGAAGACGCCAGGGAGCAGCCTAGTTGGAGAAGGGAAGATGTCGGAGACGGGCACGCGAGCATTTGGGGTAGAGTAGTTAGCCGTTCAGCCGAAGCCGGTTGGCCCGAGTGCGGAGCGGGATAGGATGTCGAGAATTGTGGCTTGGGGCTCCGGTAGGTGGTTATCACGGAGGACCACTTTGAGAGTAGAATGCGAGATGGTTGGCCTTTCAGACGGTCGACGGTAGTGTCGCATTCGTGGAACGGGAGTCGGTTTCAACGGTTTTCGTGTTACAGCACACTATCGCAGAGGTGAGTGTTCATGAACTAAAGTCGGGCGGTGTGAATCGTCGCACATGGAACAAGATTAAGGAAACGACTGGACACTGTTGGCGATGAATTGTTGGCAGATCGTCGAAAGCTTCATCGTTCAGTAGCCCAAGCTTGACAGCTCTTGGCCCTAAGGAATCTGTGACGAAAGAACGTTGTCAATTCCTCGATGACGAGCCATCATCAGATCCTGGAATGGCGACTTGTGTGTCGATCGCCAGAGTGCCGGCACTGGAGTCGCATTGAAGAAGTGCGTGTCTCGGAGAGTGTCATTGGATGCTCAGCCCTCGAACCGTGCGACGACTATCACCGCCAACTATTGAGAGCAAGGTGGAAAGCGTTGATATCTGGCCAAAGAGCGCTGGAGCGGTAGAGGTTGCGTGGGCCAAGGCAGGCTCAGTTTGGTCAGGCGGCGGACAATGGGTGGCACCAGTGACAGAGCAGCGATCGTCCTCCGATCCGACATATCGCGAAATGGGGCCCCGGAACGAGTGTAACGATGTGCTGATGCGGTTGGTCCTCACCCTTTTTTTGCCCCAGATTTCTCCAGTCACCCCGTCACGCCAACCCCAGCTTCTTGTCCAACCCTCCCTGAGTACACGAGTAGTACAGGGACGCAGGTGTGGCCCCTTCCCCAGTTTCCCGTGTTCCTATTCTTGCCGAAGATTTGAGGGTTCGCTGCAGGCTTCAATTTGCTTTTGTGCCTATTTCTTTGTTGCCGAAACTTTGCCTTGAACGGCGAAAACCTGGGGAAAACGGGGGTTCTGGAGGTGTGGGTGGGTTGGTTGAATCGACGCAGGGCCGCATGACTGGCTCTGGGCCGGTTGTTGGAAACAACAGCATCAAAGTGATTCTGGGGGTGGAGCCATTTTCGAGGGCCTAGAGCCTCTGAAAAGTCGTCCCGAGTATCGAGAAGGGTCTGGAGAGCTGGAGAGAGCCGGAAGGTCTGGAGAAGGAGGGTGAAATTGGCAGATAATTCCCCGCTTCCGGGGTCGAGTGGTGTCATGGCTGCGTTGCTGAATGGGTTTTTTGCGTTTAGCGTCGTGGGTTGGGCCAGGGTAGCAGACTGGTTGGCTGGGAGGTTTGGGGGTTGTTGTCTGGAAGCCATGTGTGAAGGAGCCCGCGTATCTCTTGCGTGTTGTCTAGTGTCTAAGGTTGTCCGTTAGATGAGGGGAAGAGGAGCAGAAGTAGGTGCAAGGTACGATGTGACTCGCGAGGTGGTGCAGCAACGTGCAGTTGGGAGGTGGAGTGAAGGGCATTTGGATCGTGGCGGAAGTGGTGTGGTGGTGATACTCTCTGCTGCTGCTGATGTGCTGCTGATGTGCTGCTGTCCTGCTGCTTCTGTACGTCTGTACGTCCAGTCCAGTGTGAATGCGACGTCCCCGGTGGTGTCCTCCGGTGCAGGCTCGCTAAGGTCGAACTAGCGCAACGCAGCCTGGAGGTCGACGGCAGACCGGGCGATGTACTGTGGGTTCTAGGCGCCTTCTCGAGTACAATTACCTCGACGTGATTGGCTCCCCTCACCATGCTTAGCGTGTCGTCCCTTCCCACCCCGAGTTTCCCAACAGCAGCAACCAGCAGGACCCCAGGGCTGGTTCCCCCAGATTCACCTTCAGCGGGTCGCTCCTGCCCTTTCTTCTCCCAGTCCAGCGCCAGTCAAGGACAAGGCAATTGCTAGGCCGGTCCGGTGGTGGCCCCCAAGTGCCCTCCCACCCCAGTCCGTTCCGTTCCCAATCCCGGTACAGGCGGGCATTCACCATTTTCATTCCAATGAGGAATGAGTCGCTGTTTCTAAGTTTCCAGCCCTCACCCCGGTCGCTCCATCCAGCGGTCTCTCTCCCGTCCACCTCCCGGCCACGGGGTCTCTTTTAGGGACTCCACAGTCTCACGTCCCTCCCACTGTCGACTTCCATTTCTTCTCCCTCTTTTTCCCTCACACACCCCAACATCCTTCCTTTCCTCAACATCTCCAGTTCCTCCACTTGCCTCTGTCCGTTGCTTCCGAGTACCAGACTTGTGACCCTCTCCACTCTTGTCCTCTTTTGTTTCTTGCTTGGAAGATCTGGGTTGTTCTCGCGGACCTGCTTTTCACCTGTGGCCCTCTCCGTGACTAAAAAAAGATACCACCGTCTTATCTGCTATCGCAAACCAAAATCGACCACGAAATTGACGGCCGGCTTTTGCTCTACGCCCACCTGGAAATCTGATTGTATGGGAATGGTTGAACCGCTGCACGCCTCGCGCCGAATCTGAACGTGTCCACGACCGATCGAGAACGGGAAATCGCCGAAGCCTCCGGGCTACACGTAAACCGCTACCGACACCAAACATAACGCATCGCATCCCTTGGACCCCAACCAAAGTGAATTTGAAACAAAAAGAGGAGGACAACCGCCAACATGCCCGGAATTTTGCCTATGAAGGTGATCAAGGTGGGCACCAGCTCCCAGAGCCGCATAGCCCAGGCCTGCGACCGGTGTCGAAGCAAGAAAATTCGCTGCGACGGTATCCGGCCAACATGCTCTCAATGCGCCAACGTCGGCTTCGAGTGCCGCACCAGCGACAAACTTAGCCGTCGCGCGTTTCCCAGAGGCTACACCGAGTCGCTCGAGGAGCGCGTGCGCCAACTCGAGCTTGAAGTCAGGGAATTGAAAGATCTGTTGGACGAGAAGGACGAGAAGATTGACATGCTTTCACGAATGCACGGAAATCACAGCAGCCACCGCAGTCCGTCCGCGGCCGCCGCGTCGGCACATTCGCCGGCCGGGTCGGCCACGGACGTGAGGGAAAAGTCGGCGTCACCGCCGAAGGAGGATACTTTCCGCGTCCAGGCGTCGCCGTTGCTTTTAGGCGTCGAGAACTCCGACTCGTACTTCATGGGCTCGTCCAGCGGCCGTGCCTTCATCGGTCCGTAACCCCCGCATCGATCCGAAGCGTCCAAGCGAAAGTGCTGTCAATGCTAACATGAGAAAACAGAGGCCTTCAAGCGCAAGATGCAAGAAAATGGGAAATCGTGCACAGATTTCAACCCCGAGGCTTTCCTCCACATTCAAGGATGCCATCCTCTGACGCCAAAGTCGCCAGACCAAGCTCTGAGAGTCCCCCCGCGCCTATTCTCGGATCGCTGCGTCAACGTCTACTTCCAGGAATGGGCACCGTTGTTCCCCGTGTTGCACAAGCCAACCTTCCTGCACATTTACGAGGAGTTTGTGTCAGACCCGGAAAAGGTCAAGAACAACCACAAGATTGCGCAGCTGTACCTTGTCTTCGGCATTGCGGCTCTCGGAAGCGACCAGCCTGACTACGACCAGATCGCTGTCTGCGAGCAACAATGGCAGCGCGCTGTTGAGGCCGTTCTCATGGAGAACACCATGGTGACCCTTCAATGTCTCGAGTTGGCCCTCTTGTACTGTATCGTCAGAGCGGATTACAAGCGCCTGCAGCACTACAAGGGCATCGCCGTGGGTCTTTCGCACCGCCTCGGTCTGCATCAGAGCCAGAAGCGCTTCTCATTTGGCGCCCTCACTATTGAGACGCGCAAGAAGGTCTTCTGGACCCTCTATACTCTTGACTGGTGAGTATCCTCGTCCTTCATCCTTTCTGTGTTACCTCCACTGACAACCGCAGCTTTTCTGGCGCTATTCTTGGCCTGCCAAAATTGCTCAAGGAAGACGACATCCACGCCGAATACCCATCAGACACGGACGATGAATACGTCACTGAGAAGGGTTTCCAACCAACTTTGCCCGGAGAGTACACTCGCCTGTCCAGCGCGCTCGCTCTGTTCCGCTGCTGCCGCATCCTGGCGAAGGTTATGGAGAAGAATTACCCTGCAGCGACATCTCATGAGCTGTCACTGCAGCAAATGTCCGCCATGGAGGCCGAGCTTGATGAATGGTGCGAGTCGCTGCCCGCACACCTCAAGCTCAATTTCGTCCAGGACAAGCCTTCAACCGATGTCACCGGAAGTCGATCGCCTCTTCTTGCCCTCGCTTACTACTACACCCGCACTCTTATCTACCGCCCGGCCGTCGGTTCCTCGCTCGGTCACAAGGCTGCGCCTGCGCTCCTGTCCATCGGCGAGTCAAGCAAGCACATTGTCCAGATCGTGCAGCTTCTGGAGGAGCGCAACATGACCTTCTCGTTCTGCCTCAACAAGACAGACACACTTATGTTGTGCGGCATGACCCTGCTCTACCAGAGCTTCGAGTTGAAGCAGGATAGCAAGATGATGAAGGATGTCGAGCGCCTCGTTAACGGCGTCATGAAGATCCTCACGAAAGCCAAGGCACCAGGTTCTTTCGACCTGAAGCGCGTCGCCGGCATGCTCGTGAGGTTGGATGAGCCCGTCTCCGCTTCATCTCAACAAATTTCCGAGACTTCCATGCCTGCACCGCAAAGATCCTCACCTCCCGCGGCAGGGAACAGGAAGAAGTCTCCACAGCAAACCCTTGGCCGCCTCCCCAGCGCGGCCGCTAGTGAGAGTGATCTCATCCAGCAACAAGAGAAGATGCGTCGCATGACGATGCCCAGCATCCACAACCGCCCGGAACTCTACCGCTCTCGCTCGCGACCATCGTTTGACAACCTGCCCCAGCAACAACAGCACGACGTCTCCGCCGCCCGCCGAGAACAACATCGGCTTTCGATGTCGCAGATTGCCAACCGCGTCAGGATGAGTGGAAAGCAGAATCTTGACTATCTCTCCCTCAGCAGTACGCCCAACGGTTCTTCCCCGCCATCGCCAACGTCAGCGCGCCTTCAGCAACATCTATTGGCAGCGGCTCACCAGACTCTGTATAACTCGCAACAACCCCCGCAAAAGATCGCTGGTGTATCGACGACTGAGTGGGAAGCGTTGCTGGGTTCCATGGATGGAGGGCTGAATAACGTGTACGACGCCATCTACGGCGGTGGTGCTGGCATGCCGCCGATGAGCGAAACAACACCCGCGTCCACGAACCTGGACAGCTGGTCGCCAGACTCTTGGGACCTGGCGAGCTTCAACATTGGCGATTTCGGAACCAACCCTGCCCCGCCGCAAAGTGTGCTGAGCGTTAGTGAAGAGAGCTTGAGTTCAGGCGAGGATCTGGCGAGCGATCTGAACATGAGCGTCAGCAGCTTAGAGTACCGCAACGCGCTATTGGCGTCATGTTCAGGGAACAATGACGGACTATTTGAAGGATTAGATGTGAACTATGGGCTATGATTTGAGAAGGTTTGGTGAAACATCAGAGCGATGACGACCTTTTGAATGTAAACATTTAGTCAGCGGCGTGAGGTTGATTTTTTGATGGGTTGGCTTTGGACAAATAGGCGGGATATGGGTCTACTTAGGATAGCGGATGAGAATATATGTTTTCATGATTGTGGGATTGAACCTACTCTAGCGTTGCTTGAATACGTGACATCACGAAGATCGGCTTTGAGAGTTTCGTTGGAATTGTAACTCACTTTCGCCATAATTTCAAGTAACTGATGGAGCCCAGCTCTACTTCACTATCGACTTTGGTTTGGATAGGAACTTCAAAGGTAGCCGCTCCGGAGTGGGACGGCATGGGACGCCTCTTGTTGTGTGAGTGGTGACACGACCGCCTATGCTCAGATATTTCGCGAAAGCAAACATTGTAAAAATATCATTTCCTAACACCCTGTGTATCTCAGAATGAAAACTATGTTATGCCCCTCTATCCTTCACCTTCACGATGCGGTAAGTCTGTGTCGTGGTTCAGATGTCTGGCTGAAGCTATTCATCGATAGCTCTCATAAACTGCGCAGGCCTGGATTCTTCGATATCATTCGTTTCCTTTTTCCCAAAACGCCTTCGAAATGATCCCCAACACCACCGATCACCATTTGCCAAGTTTACTGGTTCTGGGGCCTCAACCCCTTCTTCTTGTGGACGTCCGTTAGCCTGAGCTTTTGAAGACGCATATTCCGCCTCCGCTTGCTTTAAACATCTCTGTAGCTTGGATTGCTCATCCATTTTCTGTTCTAGCCTTTTGGAAAGCCAGCCTTCCAATCTTTGCACCAACGTCATCAGCCCCGTTGTCAGCAACACCAATTTCATCAGCATCGCCATCCTTGAACCCGTCCAAGCTTCCGTCAAATCTCTTCTAGATCGGCGCAAGTCAACAGATTTGTACGCAACTAGTGCCAACAAGGTGAGCGTAAGATTCGCAATGGAAGTGATGATCATGTTGACCAGCGTGGGCCCTGTAGGTGCTTCGCTCATGCTGAACATTCCTGTCACGAAGCCCAGCGGAAAAAACACAATCGTGACATACGTGAAGCGCTTGATGTCTTCGGAGCGATGTAGATCTAGGTTGTTTTGCATAATGTCCAGGTAACTGCGCATAAGCTCAAGATCTTTCGTCGTAGACTCAATGAGCTTTGAGATGTTGTTATAATGGTTCTTGAATGATTGAAGAGCGACCTCATTCCGAGCCGATTGTTTGCGTATGCGAGTTCTGTAGCGGCTTTCATCGTTGAAGGACCATCGTGGTCGCTCGGTTTGACGGCTTTGTTCCCGATTCAGCCATGATTCAATTGTCGCTATATTTTTCTCGAAATGCGCCTCAATTCTGCTCATACAACTCTGGAAGATTTGAAACCGCTGCCTCGCACGCATGTAACCTTCGTAATCAAGCCTCTCGAGCTCATCGACGGCACTCGAATTCGGGTCTGATTCAACAGTGCTCAAAGACTCATGTGAATTGTCTCCATCGAGTTTTGTGATGTTACTGTCGTAGTTCCCATCTGTGTGGGAATTCCATCGGGGAGCTTGAAATGACCTTCTGCTTAAGTCGTCGAGTCCCCTTTCCAAAAGTTCTCTCATCCTGGTCAAGATGTCACCCCCGCTTTTGTCCATCATCTCCAGCATGGCTGCAAATAGGGTTTGTTCCAATACTCTACGCTGCTTCAGGTAGAATACGTTAGGGTGCAAACCCTTGATGCCATGTAAATTCTCCTCGCCGCTATGTTCACTTGGGTCGTTGTCCATGTCCTCAACGAGCTTGCGGAAGCCATTTTCCATATCTGGACCGGCGGCCAGAATGCGGCACGTCCAATACCGGTCAAAGAAGTCGCCTTCGAATCGGAAGCTCAGGACGAATTTAGTAAGTCGAAGATGTTCATGGCCCACAAGAGCTGGAAAGTTGAGAACTTCCTTCCCACTTATGCCACCGCCATTTCCTTCCTCTTCCATTTCCTCGGCGTAGATTGTGTAGAATGAAAGGTGAAGCTCCGTTTCCCCAGGTATTGAGCTCTGCCATCGTCTCCTCCCAGAAGTGATTTTGGAAATTTTGATGCCTACGGAGAAAGTGTGATATTGCTTTTCTCTCCGTTTCCTCTCGATCTGAGACCGTCCTACGACATAGCTGATTGTGAGCTGGCAGATGAGAAATCATGGCCCAGACCCGCTTCTTCGCAGATTCTCGACTTCTTCCTTCGCTCATGATCGCTTTAACGTCCTCAAGTGTATTGAATGTTCGAGGGGAACAATGAACGGTGGTCTTATCTCTTCTGCGAGAGCCAATTCGGGGGAAGTCAACCATCTTGCCGAAGAACTCTGTGATGGTCATGCTTTTCTCCGTATCAATGCTTTCGGGGTCGTCTGAACCGGACATGTCACCTGAATGGAAAGTGTCTATTGAGCCGGTGGCATTGTTCGGATCAACAACGTCTCCTTGAAGGTTGCTGAGAGCTGTGGTCGTTCCTTCCGGTCCAGCTTTTGTGTTGTCTCTCGGGATGAAAAACGCTGGTGGGTTGTATAGCCACTCGTCTCCAAGCTCCACAACGTTTTTCCCGTCAACTGTTCCCAGGTTGTTGAATGGAAGCCTGGTTTTCATAGAATAGACAATTGTATGTTCCAGCTCCATTTCTTGCACAGAAGGTTTGAAAACCCAATTCTTGCCAAGAAAATTCAGCTGGGCCTGAACAGTCTCATCTCTCAACTTGTTTTGCCCTGAAGTTGAGGGATTCGGTTGTTCACTCGGCTCTGGTTTGTCCAAATCGGAGCAATACTTCCAGAGCATGTACGGTATCTCGAATGTTCTCGCCCAGAATTCATCCCTTGCGATTTCAGTCTCGTAGAGAACGGGCTCCTGCAACTCGTCGAGCTTCCCAGGAAAAAGACCATTAGCTGATGAGCTTTTGAAGAGAATCGTAAGAGCTTGCTCCAACATCTCTTGGTTGGAGCGGAGGCTGATAGGCTTCTTCAGGTAATGAACGACGATGATCGACAATGCGAACTTCAATGGATCATCCCAAATTGTGTCATCATTGTCTTCGTGGAAGGGTTGGCAGTCCACAGTATTCTTCCCCACATCGATTTTACGTTGCCATACATCCCCATGACGTGGGATGTTGCTGTTTTCTGTTCCCGGCTTATCGAACAACCCTTGTTCCATGGCTCGGAAAAGTGCTGAATCCTTTGACCGTAAGATGAATCTCGTGTGTATGGGGCTCCGTCCTATCGCGATCATGCGCTTTTTGGACACAGGGTTTTGGGTAGTAAACTTCTTCAGCATATTTTTCTGAAATTTGCCTGAATCTCTCAGCTTTGATGTCTTGACTTTCATCTGCTCAACAGACTTGATTGCTTGCCAGATCAGTACCTGATCCGTAAGATAGAAGCCTTGCATTCGTTCTTGCTCTTGATGAAGCCGTGGGAAAACGTCATGTCTGCGTGGGTCGAGCTCCGTCAGGCTATCAAGCCAACTTTTCGCAGTTCTCTTAATGGACGTTTCGTGTTTCTTGAAGCCTTCAGAAAACCTCACAAAGTCACCGGCCTTTATCAGTTGGAAAGGGGCGTCAACGAGTGATCTTTCCTGGAGATACACGTTATGCTCCCAGTCCTTGATGCGACTACCGTCTACCCAGTAATGGGGACAGAAAGATGCTTCGTCTTGATTGGCCCTGGTAAAAATCCATTCGATGTGACCCTGGCAGACGAGCTCGATGCGCTTCTTCATGTTGCAAACGTAAGATGTTATCGAGCCGATTTCACCATTACAGGAACAAATGTGAGGCTGCTGTTCGTGCTGGTCTTTGAAGTGTTCGAGGGCCAACAACAAGATCTGGAAGGCATAGCTATTTAAAGACATTTGTTTAGTAAGGTGAAAAAGAAAATAGTAGATGTACTCAAACTTACAAGCTTGCTGCTGTGCTCACACGGTGGCTTTCAGCATCACCGCAAGTGAGAGCGACTGGGGAAATCTTGTCGCCGCTTGATTTTGGTACCGGAATACTGCATACAGACAGAATATGTTCTAGGTTTCTCCTAAGACAAAAGTCGAGATCCGCACTTTTGGATAGAGGAACAGAGGCCGATTTCCACTTAGTAAGCAGCCGATTGGTGGTTTCGAATGCATTCTCCCACGTCGTTGGCAATGGTGCAATCGCTGGTGTTTCGTCATCGGCGACGTACTCGAGCCTGTACACAAGTATGATGGTGTACGCTTTCTGGTCCTCACTGTCTGCTTCTCCTGCTTTGGGTATCGTCGATTTGCTCTGGATCAGGTAAGAAGCTCCAGAAGCACCGTGTCTGATATCGAGACTGGCAGAGTTCACCAGAGCAGGGGGTTTTGAATCCTCGACAGACTTCCCAATGTCGTTAGAAGACTTATTGATCTCGCTGAAAGACTCCTGAATGGTTTTGACAGACTCCTTGGCGCTAATAGTTGATTCTTCCAATCGATTGACAGATTCGCTGTTGGTTGAGTCGGCATCCAAAGACGCCTCATAGAAGGATTCCTCGTAGACAGTTTCGTCATCAGAATAAGCGTCTTCATCAGAGGACACCTCGTCGGAAGAGCCTTCACTGACGGGATTTTCTTTGATGGAATCAACAAACTGAAGGGACATTTCCTTGTCCAGTGCCTCGATTTTGAGGGTGATTCTCTTATCTCCGATCCTGTGCTGCCGCATGAGGTGGCGTCCCGCGACACCGTACGAGTAAGCACCTGTATCATCCTCTGTAGCTTCGTTGAATGTGTTGTGGCCGTCAATGAAGTCAAGATTTCGTATGAGTAGGTCTGGAGAAACCGCCAAAGGTGGCACCTTGTCGTCTGTTATCCCACTCATGTTGAATATCTGGTAGATGGTGCCTTCTGATGCCACATACTGGATTGTGAGATCGCCGCCATTCTTCAATTTCCGCTCAAAAGTTGGCCAACGATCGTTGATCATGTTCCCAATTGCTGCAGAAGTAGCCGGTAAACATAATGAATCAACTTGCGGCCCAATCACTCCTTCGGAGGATGAAGATTTACTCCAAGAAAGGAGCCTTGATAGACGCCGTTTGACTAGCCATGGTTCCGGCATTGATGGATGATCCACGCAAAAGCCGGTTTTCTCCCCAGGAAAATTCTGGGATATTCGTAGTAGGCTACCAGACGAGCTGACTGTCGCAGTGATGCCACTGTCCCCGAAGGAGTAGTAAGTCTTGCGCCTCTTGCCTACTGCGGCGGCTTGCTTCATCACACCCGAAAACTTGGTGTCTTGTCGATTCGCCATCTTGTGTTATCTCGCACAGATTTCTTTCAAGTAAAGAGAAATTGTTGTAGAAGTCCCGGTTTTCGTGAGGGTAGGGTGCTCATGAGACAAATACCAATGAAAGGACTTTGGGTTATTCGGTTGTTGTAGGAGGCCGAACATGAACCTTCGAGAAGAGGTTCTGGAATTGGACATAAGAAGTAGGCTCTCATTACCTTCTACGTGACACTGCAACAATACTGCATTATCTCAAAAGCATCCTCGAATCGGGTACAACATCCGCAATTACAAAGAGGGGTTTACATATGCACGATGCCCTGTCCGGTCTCGCCACGGGCCGTCGCGAGAAGAACCCACAAATCTACTACCAAGTGATTGGAGTTCTGAATGCACAAAGCCTTGTTGAGTCACTTATCAGCTAGAACAGCATAGCCGGACTGGACACCCAGCTCGGCGATAACACGTCGCCGGCCTTTCCAGGATTTCCTCGATGAGGAGACCTCTGTGAGACCTCGAGATTCCATATGTGGTAATCTCTGCGAACACGAAGCGGTGTTCAAAGCAGGACGCCTATTCGGATAGACCCTAATAATTGGCTTCGAACGCTGGATGCAGATTGGCATGAAGATCTATGGAAGTTCACAATTGAATCGCGATTTTTCATTGCAAATACCTCAAGTTTCTGGACGCAACTTACCATCATATCAAAGCTTCGACTGGTGAGCGTAGGAGATCTTGGACTAAAGCTGGTATTAATTCTACCACGCGGTGCATTCCCGAAGGACTCGGGTTGGGCTTGAGCTGCAGTTGGAATGGTTCTTGATCGCTGCATGGAATATTGCCAGCAAGGGGCCAATGAAAGACTGCATTAATGTATAAAACATTGCAGACGGGTTTGCCGGTAGGAGGCGAGAGACAAGGCGGGGGATGGAGAAATAGTTACCCCCGTGGTTTTGCTGTTGTCTCTACTGGACGGCAGCTAGTTACCTTCCTGCACGAGCAAGCTGACAGCCTGATGCACGGCGACAACTCGAAAAGGCACAAGCTGCAGTGCAGCTCTGCTGTACGCCCCCGTTTCTCTCGATTAATGGAGACAAACGATCTGGGTTGACGAGGAGAGAGGACAGCAAGATTATGGGAAAGCTTTGTGACGATTGAAGGTAAGGGTGGAGCCCTAAGGTCCCTTTCGTCCAAGACCTTCGATGCGTAACAACAGGGCATGGGGAAGACAAGGCCTTAGGTTGTGAGACCAGTGTAATGGATCTGCGAACACCTCGGGTTGGGCTTAAAATGCAGTGAGTGTTGCCGGTCGTTTCTCGTCTTCAGGTAAGTCTTCAGATATGAGCCCAGTGTCCGTAGTCGCCTCAAGGTAGATTTTTCCCCAGCGCAATGAATAGAATGCATGCAACAATGTGTATTCATGAGAACGTTCTCCCTGGAAAGGATGCGGGATTCGGCGTGAGTTCTCTTGGATTGCATCCAATGTTCCATCCCGAATGTGACCGTATTTCCGCTCGACCTCCTTGCTTCCATAAAAGACGAAGACCCAAGGTTGCCGAGCATCGGCGATCTGACGAGCCCAAGCAGGAGACGGGTGGGAGACCAGCTTCTGCATTGCGTTGACAGCATTCCCCTCGCCTCTCCATATTTGAGCAAGCTCCTCTGGTGTCATACGCTCGAGCTGTTGGATGATCAACCTGGCGTTTCTTCGGGCTGCCCTTTGGTCTCCGTTACGAACTCTTTCCTTCGCGGGCGCGACTGGCGTTTGTAGGTCTTCTTCCCGTAACCGTGCGTCGTATATATCTTGCACAGAGATGATTAACTTGAAAACATCCAACAGAGGGGGCAGGCGGCCATCATCCGGCTTTACGGCGACTGCTACCAGGTGGGCATAGGAGCTAAACGCGCTGTTGGTGATAATTTTGACAAGGGCTTCCTCGTCAAAGGGGTAAGCGGCTTGACCCAGCACGACCCTGCGCAGCGTTGGCTGGCGAAGGACTTCGTCGAGGCCTTTGAACATGTTATGGCCACGAGGTCACGTCCTGCAATAATCCGCTCGCGTGCCAACATAACCTGCTCCCTCCTTTTTTCATAGAGAAGTCGTTTACGCTCCTCAGATAATGGGGGAAACATAATTGCTGGAAGGTCGATGGGTATGGACGGTATCCTGTGGTGTTTTAGGTAAGTTTAACCCACTGGGCGTGTACTTCTCCACAGACAGGGCATGCCAGATATGTAGCCTGGCAGGTGACACGTCGTCAGTCTTGTCTCTCGAGGCATAAAGAGTCCAGGTCGTGGTGATTCTTGATCGTCAGGTGTTTATGGCTTCCGCTTTGGATGTAAATCGGATGACTGGTCCTAACTCCCATGCGTCAGCATCAGTTGAAATTCTAGTGAAAGGTAGCGATGAACAGCCTGACCAGGCTGCATGGAATTCAGAGCGCGCATAGCAGGCGATGATCAGCCCCGACGACAGCTTCAATGAGGGTGAGTCGCAAGCTCGTTCTCAGAGTACCACACATCTGAAGATGTGGCACGGAATAGAGCTCAGGCGATGAGACAAAATGAACAGTACGATGAACGCGCTGGGCTGTATGGAATTTGCTTGCTTGCGGTGCAACCTATATTGATTGGAGATGCTTCCTGATATTCAGGCAGTGGGCATGAACCGATCATCCAGCATCCATCTCAGCAAGCGAGTCTATTCGTCCTCCAGTCTATGAACCTTTTCGCACCCGATACAGATCAAAGACATTACGGCCATCGCACAAGCACACCCTGTCTATAGCACACCTCTATATCTCGGCATCTGACGTGGAAAGCGAGCGAATATCACAACCGCAAAGCCTTCGCCGCCTTCGGCACCGGTCCCACAACCCCGAACCTCGCCACAATCATCAACACAGGCGTAAAGATGGCGACCAGAACCTGGATGAAGACAATCTCAGCATATAGCTTAACCGTCCTCTTCAAGCCCTGATCCTTCCTCTCGCTCTTCATCTGCTCCAACCGTGAACCTCCCTCCTTCGCCGCCGCGGCTGAGCCCTCTTCACCCTCCCACCTTCTGCATACCTCAAGGAACGCTTCGGGCTCGTCCGTGATGACGCCGTCCACGCCCTGCGCGATGCTCCACTCCATCCACTCCTCCTCGTTGACAGTCCACACAAACAGCCGGCGGTCATGCGCCTTGAGCACGCGCATGAAGGCCTTGCCCATGGGCCCAACGAGTGATTTTTGAAACATGTTGAAGGAGAGAAACTCTTGCGGCAGGAACTTGCGGGCGAAGATCGGCGACCAGGAGATGAGGGCGACGGGGTACGTAGGAACGTAGGTCGTGCAGTGGTTGATGTACGGTTGCTGGCGTGCTGTGTCAGTATGAGGATCCCAGCGGATGTTGAGAGGATACGTACGTTCCAGCACCCGAATATGATCCTCTTGTTCCACGGCACAGGACCCGGCGTCGATGCCAGGACCTGCGCAACGCAACTCAACAGCTCCGGCGCGGGGTCATCAGTCTGCAGCACGCATCAGCCTTCATCATCCCGCCTCTTCAGACAGCGCCACCAGGAATCACCTTGATGTCAAGCAAAACCCAAATGCTCTCCCTCTCCTTCCCCCCCTCAGCCAGAAACTCCAACAAGTCGCTCAACCGCGGCATCCTCTGCCTCGGCTCGCGTATCGTCTCGAGCGAGCTCACATACTCCCACTCGCACTCGTTGATCTTCTTGTCGACGCCGAAACACCGCTCCAGCGTGCCGTCGTGCGAGAGCACCACGACGCCGTCCTTGGTCAGGTGCAGGTCCGTCTCGAGGGCATGCGCGCCGGCGTCGAGCGCCGCGCGGAAGGCGAGGAGCGTGTTCTCGGGGTAGAGGGCTTTGTAGCCGCGGTGCGCGATCGCTTGCGGGAGCGTCGTCACGGGGGAGGAAGAGGGGCGGTGCAGGGCGCGGGTGAATTGGGCTGCGCACGAGATTGGATCGTTAGCTTTGCAGAATGAGCAGAGAGGTAGGCCGTGGTCGTGGTACCAGATGGGATGCCCTCTGAGAGGAGCGGTTTCGTTTCTGAAACCATGGCGGTGTATCTTTTAGCTGTATCTGTAGAATCTAGATGGTGTTTATATGGTATGCTGATCGTAGCTCAATAGCTTCTATCGTCGAGTCGGGAGCACTGTAGCCGTCGGGGAATCGACAATCACAACGGCCAGCGCTGATGGGGGATGAGGAGACAGATAAGTGTATGATGTAGTGTATTAAATCTATAATAAGAAACACAAGAAGACACCTTTAAATCATGATCGGGATAGTCATCGTCAGGAAGAGCGAAGCAGCCTAGGCCCGTTTGTCGTCGGTGGAATTGAAGAGCCCGTACCGCTCGCGGTAGTCGCCTGCGTCGGGTGATGGCGATTGACAGAGCTTGAGACCGCGCGGTGTGGTGATTGGGTTGTTGGAAGCCTCGGGATGAATGCGGCGCCAATTGAAGACGGGGAAGCCCACGTGCTGCTGGGAGTGGGGTGGAGCCAACCAAGCTTGGGAGGAGCTGAAGCTGGAGGAAGCTGGAGCGGACTTTGCAGCAGCAGTTTGCGACCCCGCGGGATCCAATCGGCCGCAACGGCACGGGACATGCTGGTCGGGCTTCCCAGTTGCTTAAATCCGTCTCCGCTGCGGCGTGCAGTAGCGCCGTCTACGGGAGGTCACGCATGTAATCGCATTGCGTACATCATCGTATCGAGTCTGAGTAACGGTGGTGTGAAAGCATGTGTATTCATTGATTCCCGCTTTTAACCGTATGGTCTCTATTCTACAATTCCTTGCGCTGGAGGGAGGAGCCTAATGATGTGCTATAAGTTTACCTATGGATGTATTCCTTTGAATAGCTAATAGGCTGAGGCCCCGATGTGAAATAACCCAATGTGTTGATGTGCCAATCAATGCCAATTTTATATCTAGTCGATCTCGACATCAATATCGAGGTCCAAAGCTCCGATGATGTCGTCATCCATAAGAGGTTTGTGAATGGTGGGAATGCCCTTCTTCTCCTGGTTCGCGGCCTGCAGCTTGGCCAGATGGGGCAGCAGGGACCCTGACTTCTGCGCTCCAAGTTGAGGCGTGCCATTGGCCGGGGTACTTGCGTTGCTGCCGTTCGTGCTGGAAGGCTTCTTGACGCCGTCTTTGACGTCGTGGATGAACTTGGCCTTGGTACGTAGACGCCGTGACAGGTCGTTCTTGATGTCTTCGCCTCTCTCCAGCGCGGCCTCGAGCTTGCGCGCCTCGGCCTTCTCTTTGAGCTGCGCCTTGCGGACATTTTCCGCGTTCTGCAGTCGGCGTTGACGGTTGATGTTGGCGAGGCGGTCCTGCTGGGAGGTCGCGCTGGGCTTGGATTGGCTGTCGCTGAGGCTGGTCTTGAATGCGAGAACGTTGGTCTTGAGATCGTCGAGTTGTTCTTGAAGATCTTCCGCTTTCCTGGTGTTGCCCTGAGCCCGAGCAATGTCGATGTCCTGCGCGAGACGCTCGCGGATCTTCGGGTCGAACTTCTTGCGGAGAGCGGACTTGCGCTGGATGCGCTCGTCGATTTCTGTGGTTGTGAGGTGGTAGTTGACGAGGTGGTTAATGTCGTCAATCTTGTCGAGGAGTGTTTGCTTCTTCGGCATGTTGAGACCATCTGCTTGGATGACCTTCTCGTAACGGTTGTACTCGCGCTAACACCATTAGATTGTGCAATTACTTGCGGAGCCATTGCAAACGTACCTCTGTGAACGGCCTATCGGACAGGAAGATGAAGGGAAATGGTCTCTCCGCCTTGCCGTGCGCAGCCAAGACGTACTGGTCAGTCACGAATGAGCCACCTGGGCCGGTCATGGCGTACGGCTTGCCCACAGTGATGGCTGTAAATGTCAGAAAAAAGGCTCATCCATCAGAAGCGACCAGCATACCTTGGATGCGCGCCATGCGATACTCGTCCGCACCAGTCTTTGGGTCGGGCCCCAGACTAATGCGAACATAGCAACCAGTCATTGCGGACTCAAAGCCGGGATTGAAGCAATACTCCGCAAACCGACTCTTGCCCACACGAATCCGCTCAAAGTCGCGCATGTCAGGCGGCGGCAACTCGCGCGCCACGATCTCGTCCTCGGGCGACCTCGTCTTGCGACGACGGCGGTTGCGCTCGTCGTAGTCGTCCTCGCCGTCGCTCTCGTCGCGGCCACCGTAATCGTCGTCGCGCGGAGACTGGTTGCCCCTCTGGCGATCCTCTTCCCTCCTACGAGCACGATCGCTCTTCTCCGCGCGGGCGCGACGCAGCGTATCTATCGCCGACGTCTTACCATCCGTGCGAGGACGCGATGTCTTACGCGCGCCATCCTCCAGATCAGCGGCGTCCGCGCTGCGCTTCTTCAGCTTCTGCTTCTTCTCCTCGTTCTCCCTCTCGCCGACGAGCTGGCGCAGCATGCGGTTCTGTCGGTGGCGCTCGATCTCGGCCTGGCGTTCTGCCAACAGTGACTCCCTCTCAACCTCGCGCATCGCCATCACCTGCTCCTTCTCGGCAGCGCTCCTAAACATTCCGTCGACGGGGTACTTATCCTCTTCGTCGTCGTCGTGGGCGCCGGCGCGGCCGCTGTGCTGCTCGGCTTCGGAGTCGGACTCGTCCATTGCGGCCGACCCTATCGAGTTCGGGCTGCCGATCGCGGATGATCTGAGGCGCATTGTTAGTGATGTGATGAACAGATAATCCGAGATGAGGATGATATAGCAAAAGAGATTGCGCAAAAATGGCCCGCAGATGCCAGGTTTGACAGGCAGTGGAGGGCTGGTTGGAGGTGAGGGTGGTTGACAGCAGGTGAAAAAGCCATTCAAATGTGACCAGACCAGATCCTCAAGGTGGTAGAGACTTACGCCTCGCCTTCTTCTTCCGAATCCTCCCCTCCTGTGCGCTTCTTCACCTTCTTTGCCACTGATTTCTTTGCTGCTGCCTTAGGGGGAGGTGATGCGGACGGCGCCCTGCTCTCGGCCTCTGACATCACTTCCTCCTCATCTGAGGACTCTCCACCTCCGGCAAGAGCCAAAAGCTCATCGTCAATGTCGGCCATTGTGCGTTGTGGAAGGAACTCGATTAGGGGGAACAAAGGCGACTTCGACGGCTTCGAAGGGTTTCTCGAGAGATCGCGACGGAACCTGGTCGTCGACGCGACTAGGTAACGATACTGTTGTGCTCTGAGATATTGCGATATGTTCGGTGGGAGCGGCGCGGATTCGATGGAAGGAATTCAACAGACTGGCGGAAACGGGCGATTGGCGATGTTGGTAAGGTGGGAAGAAGAGCTTGAAAGTCTGGCTCCTATTCACTGCCTTCCAGGTCGGGACACTGTCGTCTACAGCTCGCGTCTGATTGGCCAATATTATGTCATACAGCTGCACAGAATAATGGGCCGTCGGAGCATCGGCCCCTTCCCATCCGATCTGGCGTGACGTCAACCAATCATGGCGCGCAGTGTGCTCGGCATCCGCCGGGCTAAATCATTCGATATCATTGACAGCTTCATTTGCGACTGGACTTCGGCCGAGTGCATGCTCCGAGCTGGGGCTGACATTGTCACTTCACAACCACACAATGGCGTCTGTACGAACGTTTTGGAGGCCCTGCAGCGGCATAGCAAGGCGAACAGCGCACCATGCGCATGCGCCGGCTCTGTGCATTTCGCAGCGGCAGCTTTCGACGACGCCCAGGTCGCAGGCTGAAGCAACCAGCCAAGATCGCCCACGTCGCAAGCCCTTAACCCAGGAGCAGAAGGACTTTCTGTCCTCAGCTGTGCGTCACTGAGTCTCTCATCCGTCTTCAGAACCATTACTGACACACGCGAAACAGCTCCGGGTAAACCAGGCTGGAGAACTCGCAGCGACGCTCATTTACACCGCCCAAACCCCACCACTCGTAAATCGACACCCTCACCTCCGTCCCTTGATGGCGCACATGTACGACCAAGAGGAGGGGCATCTTAAGACCTTCAACTCTCTTATCCACAAGCATCGTATACGCCCGACTGCCCTGTATCCCGTGTGGCAGGTCATGGCTACTGGTCTGGGCTGGGGTACGGCTGTGATGGGTCGCGAGGCAGCCATGGCCTGCACGGAGGCTGTTGAGACTGAGATTGGCGACCACTACAACAACCAGATCCGAACTCTGTTAGAGATGGTCAGTGAGTGGGAGGCGGAGGGGTACGAAGTTGGCCCCGAATTTTCGGAGCTCATCAAGACGCTGCGGAGGATCAGAGACGAAGAACTTGAGCACCTCGACCATGCTGTCGAACATGACGCCAAGAAGGCCGAGCCGCATTGGCTGCTGACTGGCGTCATTCGCGCGGGCTGCAGAGGGGCCATTTGGGTCAGCGAAAGAGTATAAAGTCTGTAGTGTAAGAATGTGTATAATACATGTAAAAGAACAAAAGGCCAAAGCCGGGAAAAGCGGTAAAAGAAAGAAAAAAAAGTAACCGAGACCAAAACGCCAATTGTCCACCCTCCGACTCCGTTTTTTGCACACGTTTCCCTGGTGTCTCCATCTTGAATGGCGTTTCCGTCGTCTCTTTTTCTATCGTCTGTAACGGACCCTGAGTTTTGCTTCTGTCGTCGGTAAGGCACGTCTAGCCAATAGTCCGCAACGTCTAGCCAAAGAGGGGCACCAAAAAAGGCTTCATCCACTAGTTACTACAAAGTGCGTCAGCATCACAGTTCTGGGGTAAGAGTCCACGAAAACTTACTAAATTTGTAGAGGTGCAACGCCGTCAACTTGGAAGCCCCAGTTTCCGTTTTGCTCTTCCGTGAGCAGCCAGTCGTAAGGGAACTGTACGACGTGACCTTGGATAAGGTTCAACAACTCTTCTGCTTCCGCTCTCGGAAGCACCTCCTCGGGCGGCTGGCCGCGCCGACTGCCTTTAGTAGTGGCTCGTCGGCGGCGTTTGACCGACCCTTGAGCTTGCTGCGCCGGGGTGCTGACATCTCTAGACGGGGGCTTTTCAAGAGGGGAGAACGTTGTCTTCCGTTCTCTGCTCTTCTCACGGGCAGGATCGAGCAGCCCTCCGTCAGGAGCAGGGGAGCCAACTTCGAAAGCCGGGAATGGTACATCACCCGCGGGAAGAACAGGTGACGGGGCTTCTGGAGATCGAAGGGCAGCTTTCTCGTCATTCTTGTCTCTTTCGTCCGACTCCGCGGTACCGCCTCTGTGGTTGTCGTTTCCAGGAATAATGATGGTGGGATGAGGCAGCTTCTCTCCTGTCTTTTCAGCCGCGGCCTTGACGACAGCAGCAGGGCCTGGCGCGCCTACTCCAGCACCGCCGCTAGTGACGGGGGCCTGGTGCCGAGCCAGATTTGGCTCTTCCTCCGTCTTCGTATTCCCCTCAAGGCTCTCTCTGAAACGTTCGGCGTACTGTGTAGCCTGTTGATAGTCAGGCCAGGTGAGTACCTCCGAATCAGGCATGCACCGGAACACTCGGCGGTACAGCTTGGTGTTGTTTTCTGCAACACGGTTCCAACAATCGTCGAAGAATGACGAGTTGATCGGATCACGCATGCAGTCCTTATCGATGTGTGCCTGCCTGATGTCTGCAGCGAGGGGATGAAGAGGTCCATTCGTCGGTTGGCCGTTCTGATCGAGGTGAACTGGAGGACCACCAATATCAGTGTCATCCACAGCGGGTAATGTAGGAAGTCCGGCGATGCGAGGCAGACCAAGCTGGTCGGTTGTGCGTCGGTTGAGAGCAGGAATCGGCGGCAGCGCATCGTTGCTGACACAATTATCCTCCTCGATGTGATGCTCGACCGAGGTCTTGCGCTCGTGGGGCTGCATGGGAGTCTCCAGAGTACCCTTGCCTTCGGAAAAGACGCCATTGACAAGTACTTCACGACCATTGACGATGACAGAGTCGCGGCCTTGATCAAGACCGAGCTTCTCAGCAGTCTTCCAGTGATCCTTTCCGTAGCCAGCGATATCAAGAGCGTGATCCTTGTTGTTCATGACCCGAGGGTCAATATCCTTGTCCTTGGAGGACGACGCCGATGATACTTCGTCTGCAGCCTCGCCAGGCACGGCGGTGGCATCATGGTTAAAGCTGGGAGTTTGTCCAGGAAGAACTGGCTTTGCTGATTTCTCATTCGAATGCCCGCTTGGTCCGGCGACAGGTGGCGTCTCGTCGTCATCCGCATAGATCTCGTCCATTTCGGCCTCGTACTCGGCCTGCCGGTCCATTTCAGCCTGTCTCTCTTCCTCAAGTATCTCATCCACATCCAATCCAAGATGCTCCCGCATGAGACGGAGACGCAGAGTGTGAGCAAAACGACCGACGCGGTAAGACCTGCCAGCCATCGTCGACCAGATCATATCGGTATCACGGACGACTGCAGCCAGCTCGGAGTCACGACTTCCCAGCATAGACCGCTCGTTGATGTTTGCAGAACCGATGAGAGCCACGCGATCGTCCACGATGATACACTTGGCATGGATGTACAGCTGTTCTGTCACCAAAGCGTTCCTGGCGCCGATCTTGCCCCATTGTCGCAAGCTGTAGAATTGGATGTAGTCCTCTGGTTCAATGCCCGCAGCGCGAAGGCGTGAGAAGATGGAGCCGTCGCCACGGCAAATACTGCGATACTGGCACTGGAGAATTAGTCGCACACTGGTGCCCTCCTGCTCGTCGACAGTGTTCTGGAAACCTGGCATCAGAGGAATGATGATGCACGCCTTCCAGTCTTCTCCCTTCTCGTGAGCTCGCATGATGCGCTCGACCAGTGCATCGCCAATGCGGTTGACGATCTTGGTATTGAATGCCTCGGTACTGGTGATAAAAAACTGGTTCTCAATGTAGACAAAGTGATCAGAGTCCTCAATCATCTTGATGTAAGCATTTTGGATGCTGCATTCCGTGTGCTCGATGCCAAGGGACCAGTTGGTTGAGGATCTCAAAATCTGGACCTCGCAGGTACCGGTCAATCCAAGAGCGTCAAGCTCTGCCATCTTGGAGTCTGGCGGTGGAAGCAGGAAAGGTAGAGGTCTGGTCGTCTTTCGTCCTCTCTTGACGTAGTTCCATCGCTGGACGAAGTGACGGGTCAAGTCTCTGGCGGGCTGCCCAACGACCTGCATGGCAATATCATGCCAGGGCATTCTGGGTACCTTGCTTCTGTCGTACATCTCCTCATACGGTTCATCAAGCTTGAAGAAATCCTGGACTCTAGGGTTCGAGTAATCCTTGCCGGGGAAGAGCTGCACATGCTCCGCATCCTTGGGCTGCTCGCTCTGCTCGAAACCTGTTGGCTTATCGTCAGTGATCGGATGTTGTGGGCAATCCCATCGACCGAAGCACAGATCAATGCCGCCGACAAAGGCTACATCATGGTCGACGATGACAAGCTTCTCATGATGAGCGAAGAAGAACTGATTCTTCTTGAACTGGTTGGGCGACCGCTGGACAAATATATTGGGGTGGAGGTTCAGAAGGGAGTACTTGGTGTACTCTGAGTCGATTGGAATGGCGGCTTCGACGTTACGGTAGACGATGACGAAGACCTTGACACCCTCGCGTGCCTTTCGCTGAAGCAGACGATCCAAACGCCACTTCTGGCTGATAGCCGCAGGTCGACGCATGTACAACTCAGGACTCAACCACCAGTCGTGAATGTAAATAACGTCGCGTGCCATGCTAATAGCCCGAGAAACATTCCACATGTAGTCTCTTCCGTCCACGAGCCACTGTGCGAAGACACCATTGCGAACGGGGGCGAAGCTGTCGAAGCGGTTGATGTCATGCCACTTAGTTTGCTTGAGCATCTCTGCTATAGAGTCTTCGAACTGCTTCATGATATGCTGGTTCCTCGAAAATAGCTTGACTTTCCGCTCGGCGGTGTGTAACGTCAGAGTGTGGTGCTTTTCTGTGTCAGGCTCCTCAATCAGGTCGATCTCCTTCTCTTCGGCCTTGGCCTTCCCCTTGCCCAGCTGCTTCAGACCGTTCTTCTTAGAAACGATGCGAAACTTGGAATCCACGAGGTATACGTCGTAGACGTTCATCTTCTCAGGTGATTCAACGCAGACAATGTAACTGGACCGCACGAGAAACCACTTTCGGCTGTGACGGGCAATAACCTTCTTTGGTGTCAGGACTCGGCGGAAGTCCATTCCTTTGGATGATTGAATGTGGAGGTAGCATTCTTTGCCGTGGTAGCTGCCTTCAGCCGCCAGGCGCACACCAAGTGCAGACAGCTCCAAGAACTTGCAAAGACGGTTGCTGTCAGCGCGGAACATGAGCCATCGGATCATGTCCTGCAGGTACTTCTCGAGGACTCGTCTTTGTCTCTCAAAGTAGCGCTTCCGCGCCTGGGCCAATTCGATTTGGTTCTCTGCTCCTGAATCGCCCGGGTCAGTCAGACCAGTAGACTTCCTGCGCATACCCAACATGCCGAGACGGGACTTTTTCCTATTGCCTGGCCCTGCGCGGCCCTCCCACTCGCTGGCAGTCCCCTCTCCTGCAGTTGCTTCCGCAGCAGTGCCTTCAGCTCCAGTCTCATCGCCTCTGAGGCTGGCAGCTCTAATGCTAGCCCCATCGTCGTCGTCGCTGTCGTCCTTGTTGCGTGCCGCACGAAGGTACGGGAAGGCGCCCCATGGAAACTTGGGCATCTTAGGTCGGGCACCCACGTCGGCGCGCCCATGCAAGTACTTATCGTTGCTCATCGCCAGTTTGTAACGGACATGTAGGTTATAGACGTCTTTGAGCGTTCTGATGATGGTCCATTTCATGCGCGACGGGCCGCTGCCGTATTCCAAGTCCATGGTGAACACCCAGTGGCGCTCGCTGTCGTCGTCCTCTGATTCTGGCTGGCTGTCTGTAATACGTAGGCGCACTTGCTCCAGGAGAACCGGTATTCTCTTATTGCCGTGTTCGTCTCTCTGAATCATACTGGCAAGCATGAGAACGGCGGGGGCTCCGGCTCGCAGCTCGGCCATGAGTTCTGCTGATTTGGCGAAATCGAAACGGTCCTCCTTCTTCTGCCTAAGAAGTTTCAAAGTGTTCTTGACGTACTTCCATGTCGACGCTCTCTCGCCACCAAAGAAGGGCCTCTTGGGCGTCGTTATCGCGTCTCCGTCCGACACACCTCCGCCGCCGAGAACTGTGATCCGGCGCATGTGACCTCTTCTGCCAGGGCCGAGGGGGCTTTCGGTGCCATCCGCTCTACGGGACCGCATCCACGATGGGCCAGCAAGCTGGTCGCGTCCTTCGCCCTCTGACATACCGTGCTGCTGCTGCTGTTGTTCGGCGGTGTTGTCAGGCATGGAGAGCCGTCGGCGAAGCGCACCCATGCGTCCATACCCAACAGGGGAGTCTGGACCAGGCAGGTGCGACTGCCTCAAGTTAGGAGTGCTGGGCACCGACATCTGGGGCTTGTCTTTCTTCGATCTGCGCATTCTCCTCTTTTTCTTTGGTTTGATTGTGTCGGTGGCATTGCCCTCGTCGGCTGTCTCGACATCAGCGTCGGCATCGCTTCCGCCGACAACATCATCCTCGTCCAAGGTCCCTGGTATTCTCGGGCGACCAGATGTAGGCGAGTTGCTCCGGGAAGGGGTGCCCGAGTCGTTCAAATTGCCCGAGCTACTCGTCTTGAGAGTCTGCAGGCTTCCAGAACCAGTCAACTGCTTCAACTTGGTCATGAACGCAGACCCAATGGACTTGCCGCCATCTTCCCACGAAGGGTTCCGCGAGTGACTGGCCGGGGGCTCCAAAACCTGATCCGTTCTAGCAAACTGCACGCTTCGTCGGTCGGTCGGGGACGCAGGCTCGGGAGAGTAAGTGCTGTGTTCTGGCATCATGGGCAGTCCTCCCGGGGTTTGTCTGGCACCGATACTGTCGGCGGAATTCAGGTTCGGCAGTGTCGGGCGCTTGGCGGGCTGTTGAACAGGAGATTGGCTATCGTGAGGCACGCCTCCATTGATGTAATCTCTTGCTTCGGTCGTCGGATCAATCGCATAGATCGTCGATCTGGGGGAGGGAAGGTCCTTCGGCGGAGGAGCAGGCGGGCCGTCTTTCGGTGGAGGAGGGGGAGGAGCGAGGGAGTCGGGCGCGCCTGGGGTTCCCGTCGCGGAAGGAGAGGCCGCACGAGGGCTGCGTGTCATTGGTGAGATGGACTCATCTCTGGCCGTCGTGGCCATTGTGTCTCGAGTGGAAATTCTGGAATTCCACAGGGCAAAGAAGGGACTTGAGAGTGGTACAGACAATGGGAAGGACTGGAGCTAAGACCGAGACACCATCTGTAACGGTAACGGCAACGGCGCTCGTCGTCGATCACCAACGTCTGGAATAATAAGAACTGATCGCTGCAAGAATGACGGGTTTGAGGGGAAAAGAGCGGCCTGTCGAACTGAGCTGCGAAAATCGTGGTAGGTGAGGTGAGGTTGCTCCTCCTGCAGGTTGAGGTGCAGGGTTGCGGACGATCGGTATTGCAGTTGCGGTGTCTTCAGCCAGGCAAGGACCTTGGGGGCACGTTTGGGAGCACCAAAGACGCGGACAGGGAGAGCAACGGGGTGCAGAGTGGGCAGGTTCAAGGGAGGATGCCACGGTGCCAGTCCCAGCAGCCCGACCCTTGTGACGGACTGCAAATCCCCAGCCAAGTAGCACCGTTAGTGGAGGGAGAGGCTTAATTGCTATTTGGCTCCGAGCCAATGGGCGCTGCCGGGCTACGAAATAGGGGCGCAGGGGGTGACCCAGCGGCTCCCTCCGGGGCGCACCAGTCCGATGTCACGCCCAATCTTCAGTGGCTCCCGCGCTATTTGGGCCCAGTTGGGCCACACGCAGCTGATCGAATTGACATTTGACACCAGCCCTTCGTCTTCGGCAAGTGAGCAGCGAATGACCTCTGATTTTGAAGGATGGGGGAAGGTTTGGGAGGGCAGAATTCTAGTTTTTGGCGTGCAGATACAAGCTGCAGCTCCGGCTCTAGCTCCTCCAAATCAACAAGGGCCTTGTTCTGCCCAACTCCCGGCGGAACAGACTTCTAAGGGCTGTGCGGGCTTGAAATGACGGCGAGAACAGATGGTGCACATCCCGCAATCTATTATGGATCAATCTGTCTACTGCGTATTATCTATCTCGTTCCGCGAAATGGGGGCCAGGGGACTTACTGACACCCACGTACCTTCCGGAAAGACTGGAGTTCATACGACGGATGCAATAGGGGTTCGATTAGATCTGAGACGTGGGACCACGTCAACATGCCTACGATTTAGCTTGCTCAATTAGCTTTGTTGTGGCAGCGAGCCGGCATGGAATGCAGATTAGTGACAGCTGCGACAGGGGCCTCATCAAAGACCCAATCAATCCATTGTGTGTTTGAAGCGGGCTTCAAATAAAGAGAGGCCTCAGAGGGGAATCGCGGTCGTTATGCCAATCTCGACAAGGCGCGGTCAATTAACAAAGACCCAAGATCGTCCCTGACTAGTCTGCGTGGGTTGTTTCACCGTGAATGAAAGAAATGGGGATTCAATCATTCGAGTCTCCGTGGCTTGTAAACCGAGGCGTCTTGGGATTTTGCGGCGTTAGAGGGGGGGTCCCCTGGCCATCAGTTGTTGAGAGCTGAGGCACATGCGCCCAATAAGACCGCGCCTCGCGTCTCGCTTATCGATAAGGACCGGGTCGCGTCAAACATCACGAACTCCCGGTGACCGACTGTTTTTGAAGCCCAACGCCGCCGAAGCCCCGCCGCCATATCGCAAGATGCCGAGGTTCGTCGCACACTTCCTCCGTCCGTTCGATGCATCTTCATCTAACGTATTTTCCACAGGGAAATTATCACCGTCCAGGCCGGACAATGCGGCAACAGCAGTACGTTACCCCGCCATTTCTTGCTCTCTCGCATCGACCCAGCTGCGAACGGGCAGCAGGCGCCGATATTGAGGCTGACACGATACAGTTGGAAGCCAGTTTTGGCAGCAGCTTTGCCAGGAGCACGGAATCAATCAAGATGGAAACCTTGAGGACTTTGCGACCGAGGGAGGCGACCGAAAAGACGTGTTCTACTACCAGAGTGACGATACAAGATACATCCCGCGAGCCATTCTAGTCGATCTCGAACCAAGAGTAGGTGTCTTTATGGTGATGGAGCAATTACTGTTGCTAAAACATTTCAGGTAATCAACGGCATTCAAACTGGCCCCTACAAGAACATCTACAACCCCGAGAACTTCTTCGTTGGGAAGAATGGCGTCGGCGCCGCGAACAACTGGGGTGACGGATACCAGACGGGTGAGGTTGTCTGCGAGGACATCATGGAGATGATCGATCGCGAGGCCGACGGAAGTGACTCTCTGGAGGTATGCATCATGATAGAACGCTCTGAGCTTTGCTGACGTTCAACAGGGCTTCATGCTATTGCACTCAATAGCTGGCGGTACCGGATCCGGTCTAGGATCCTTTCTCCTCGAGCGCCTCAACGATCGGTTTCCCAAGAAGATTATCCAAACATACTCAGTCTTCCCAGACACAACAAACGCAGGAGATGTCGTTGTTCACCCTTACAACAGCGTGCTCGCCATGAGGAGGCTGGTACAAAATGCCGACTCCGTCGTCGTGTTGGATAACGGAGCCCTTTCACGCATTGCAGCCGACCGACTTCACGTTCAAGAGCCATCGTTTGCCCAAACCAACCAACTTGTGAGTTCTACACTTGATGACGTTACTGGCGCCATAGCTAACAGGCGTCTTTAGGTCTCGACAGTCATGTCAGCAAGCACAACCACACTGAGATACCCCGGATACATGCACAACGACCTGGTCAGCATTCTGGCCTCGTTGATTCCTACCCCAAGATGCCATTTCTTGATGACAGCATACACGCCATTCACTGGCGACCAGGTCGAACAGGCCAAGACGGTGCGAAAGACAACGGTGCTGGACGTCATGCGCAGACTGCTGCAGCCCAAGAATCGCATGGTCTCGACGCAGCCCGGGAAGAAGAGTTGCTACATCTCCATCCTAAACGTCATCCAGGGCGAGGTGGACCCCACAGACGTTCACAAGAGTCTGCTTAGAATCCGGGAACGACGACTGGCAACTTTCATTCCCTGGGGCCCAGCCAGCATTCAGGTGGCCCTGACGAAGCGGAGCCCCTACATCCCGATGGCCCACCGCGTCAGCGGTCTGATGCTGGCCAACCACACCAGCATTGCAACTGTAAGTACTTGCTGACTTTGAACCTCGATTCCACTTGCTAACAAATGCGCAGCTCTTCAAGAGAATCGTCAGACAGTACGACGGCATGCGGAAGCGCAATGCATTCATGGAAGGGTACAAGAAGACGGCGCCATTTGCAGAGAACTTGGACGAGTTTGACGAGGCCCGCGAGGTGGTGCAGGACCTTATTCAAGAGTACGAGGCCGCAGAAGATGCCGACTACCTGAATCCCGACACTGGAGATAAGGCGACTTCAGCTGAAACCGACAAGAGGATGGGTTAAGTCAGGCACGATTGCGAGAGTGGAGGTGGGGGTTAGAGCTGATGAGGGGGAAAGGAAGCAAGGCTGGGATAGCATCATACGTGGGTGCATCACAACGTCGATTTGTTGGTTCAGGCGGCCATGTGGCACTATCGGGAAGGGATCGGACATGACCTGGCTGGCTTTTTTTGCCGGGAATTAAGGCGTTCAGGGCTGAACAAGATTACGAAACCAACCCCCCAATAAACTTGCATCTGGATGAGGCAACAGCTGTCAAGGCACATGCGCGTAGACCTCTTTGGAAGCCCAAGGAGCTTTTCCTCCTGGAGGCTCTGGAGCAATTTTGTCATTGATCGACCATCTGTCGTTTGAGTTCCCCACCTACCCGCCAAATCGTCGATGATACTGGAGCGTGCGGTTCGCAGCTCCACTGATTGTGTGCGAAGAGCCGCAATTGCCTCTGCTTGACGTCATTGACGTCAGCGTCAATTGAGCATGGTCCCTGAGGACAGGACCCGGAGGACTCTGGATATCTTGAACATAAAAGACGTTCAATCGAAGCCAGATGATTGTGCATCTTTTCCTCCTCATCACATTCAAAAAGCAAATCAAAGCAATTGAAGGAAACCACGCCACGGAACATTTCTCCAAATCTTTTGAAGTTCTTCCACGCAGTAAGTCGCATCGTTCCCCTCCTGGGGCTAGCTGTCTTGAGCTTCGACCAATGACGAACGAGCGCTAACTCACCACCCCTTCCCTAGCTCCAAACCACTACCACTTCACATCACCCGCCAAAATGACCCAGTCCAAGGCCGACAAGATCAACGAGGTCCAGCAGAACCTCCCTCTCCCCGAGCAGCCCCCCGTTGCCTCCGACTGGCAGTCCGTGGACGCCCGCAACGTCAACGTCGGCAGCGGCGGCGATTCCGAGCGCAAGATCGGTACCGAGACGGCTGCCACCTCCGGTCTGAGAGAGCCCGCGTCCAAGGCGGCTGAGGACCTGAGCAGTGTTGGACGCCAGGGTGTTGAGGGATTGAGCAGCGCTCCCAAGGACGCTGCTGCGAGGTAAATTTTGGGATGGGAAACTGGAACTGTATTATAGGAAGCATGGGATATGAGTAATGATACGCCCCAAGGGGCCTTTCAAACTTTGCATTATGGTGTTTGAAGTTGGGGGCGAAGCAAGTCTGCAAAGCTGGTACTGTTGTTGTGATCATCATGAACCGATGCCTGGACTCAGAGACACTAAGCGTGGATGCGAGATACGGAATGAAATCCTCGAATCATTGGAAGCGGAGATTCAGTTTATCAGTTTTGTCTGTTTAAAAGATACATGTCAAGCATTTCCGAGACGACCAACTTCTCTGGCGCTACAGAAACCAAAGCAGCCTGCTTCTACCGTGAGATCCCTTATAATTTACCAATGTCATCAGCAATTGTCTCAAGGCAATACTTCCATTTTTCTCCTGTTGTCCTCTGTCTAAGCACAACATCGGATTGATTTGAGCTCAAGGGAAATGCGACAGCTAGATCAATAGCTTTCGTTCGCTCTGCAGATTCAACCCAGTGAGGCGTACTCGTAGACGATTCTTTTCAGCCTATTCACAATCCTATTCTTTCACAGCACGATCCTTTCCTCTCTGCAGTGATTTTGCCCCACAAATGAAATGACATGCCCATTCGTTGTTGTCGATCGAAGTGTCTCACTTCGAGGAAGGGTGAGTTGCAAAAAGAGTCGCAACCCAGTGAATTTGACCAGTCCCTTACTTGACACCAGTCATCGGTAGAGTTTAGACCTCTCCCCAGCTGGGGAGGCTTTCCAAAAGTAAAATCATCGGTGCCTGGTTGAGGCCCTTTCCATTTAACATCATCGCAGTTAAACCCGACCCTGGAGACGCAACATGACACTATGAGACAGCATGGGATGTCACATATTGCCCATCAAAGTGCCTCTACTGAGAGGACAAAGCCGAATTTCTGCAGCTTCCCTGCTGCATGAAGTTCATCTTTTTAACCCAGAAGTCGTTCTTGGATGACTTCTGCTTCTTCCCATCTGCGTGCAGCGACCTTTGATACCCAACTTGGTCTGTTTGTTACAGTCCCTACTGACAGGTTGATAAAACTCATTCACAGGCAGGAGCAAGACACCTTCCTCAGTCTCCCGGAGTGAGGGCTGCTCCTTCTTTAACACTGGTTACTGAGTCGACAGGGTCTTTATCTGTAGGTGAGCAAGAACGGCTCTGCTCTCTCGAGCAACTTATCCTGGGTGGGCCTGCCTGCCTGACTTCCATCCCGGACGAATCCCCTCCCTTCCTCCCTCCTGCCCTATCTCTGGCCAGACTTGTCTCTTTTGGATCTGGTCTGGGCACACTGCTGCCCTTTGCATCTTCCATTTTCTCCCCAAAGTCCATCCCTCACCTTCTCTTTTTCCCACACTCTTCCTCCACCACAACACAACAACACACTTCTTTCCAAATCAAAATTTCCTTCCCAGAGCACCTTCTCGTCTACTTCGCACCTTACTCTCTACCTTCAAGATCTTCTTGAACGGATAGCTGAGAACGGCCTGCGCTATTTCGTCTCTGCATCATCCAAACACCGCGCAACGCGCTACCTACGTCTACAAAATCAAATCGAGGGACCTCGGATCACAACCGGGCCTTCAAGTATCAGGTAAGAGCGCCTTTCATCGCGTTTTTGCTTCTAGGTTTCCATCTTGTCGGGGTGTCTCCTTGCTGTTGCCTATTTTTCTCCCCATCCCGTCCACCACTCGCTGGATTTCGTCCTGACTTGCAACCAGAACCGCGCTGAAACATAAAGCTCACGAACGCAAGGTCCCAGCTCTACAAGCCTCGTAGCAAATATGGGCAGCTGGGGAAACAAAGAAGAGCGGCGTACTGATCGCATGCCGAAGCTGCATATGCAACCTACCGCGACTCAGTCTCCCATGACTCCTCCCGTCGCGCCCGACTCGATCAGAGATGCCATGATGGCAAGTTCCTTCCTTCCTCCTCCTGAACCCCGCTTACATTCAACAGAATGACCTGGGCATTGGCCGTGTCGAAGAGCTCCCTCTTGACAATACTAAGCGCGAGCACCATGATCGGCTGCGCCCTCGTCGTCCTGTCGTCCCCACGCAAACTTCTGAGTCCCTCCAAGGATATTTGAGTAGGTTATTGTCCATGTTCGTTGATGTAACATGTATCTGACTTCAAAACCAGACTTGGCCAAGACCGGCCTTGATGATGACGAGGCCAAGGGTGTTCAGAACCTCAGCGACTTGGGCGGTCCAAGTTCCTACCGGGCCTCTGGAGGCCCTTCGCAGGACTATGTTCCCAAGCCCCGCCCCGCGTAAGTCGCTGCCCGGTTTCTCTCGGCGGCAATCTAGCTGACACAGAATAGCAATGATGCCTATGCTGGCATGAAGACCAGCCCGAATGGCATCCTTCTTCCACCTGGCGCTGAGTTCAGGATCTTCAATAAGGCTAGTGGTAACGGTGCTGGTACCAATGTTCTGGTCCAGGCTGTTGGAGGCAGCGAGCAGACCTATGCTACTCAAGCGACCAGTTCTCATACAACTGGCGCCGCCCAGGTGACATCTGCGATGTCTTCTCAGGGCGCTTCTGTCACCTTCAAGGGTAGTCAGCATAACCCCGGCCAAGGAAGCGCGTCTGCTTTGCCTCCTCACCTGAGGAAGAAGCCCGCTGAGGGTGATTCTTCTCCCTCGTCTGCCCAGACCACTCAGTCTACTAAGGCCGACAAGCAACCTGCCCAGCCTGCTCAATCTACTCAGACCGTCAGTCCTGCACTGTCTACCCAGCCTGCTCAGGCTGCTCAGGCTGCCAAGATGCAGACGCCAATTGCTGCCATTGCTCCTCCTACTACCAAGGCCTCTTTGCCCAGCGAGGGACGCATGGAACATGAGCATGCAAAGGCCAACGACTCCGCTTTGCCTTCTGACAGACAGCTGTTCTCGTCTACTTGCAAGGGAAAGATGGGAGGTCCTGGTGGATCCTGGGAAGATGTCATCGTCAAACTCAAGGTCGTCTTCACCGAGAATCGCCCCGAGGGCCACGCCATGTTCGTCATGGAGTACAAGGACATTCTCACCAAGAGCCACGGTCTGGAAACTTACCGCTGCGTTTACGCAAAGGGTGTCTTGGTGATCTGCAGCTTTATCGACTCCTCAAACGACAAACCCCGGGAAGAGCGATACAGCTTCAGGTTCCCAGATGGGAGTACTGGAGTGGAGTTTAACCTTCAATGCGACAACATCAAGCGTGTGATGGAGTACATCCTGAAGCACGCCATCCCTGCAAAGAGTGAGGCGGTCGAACCCTCGGCAAAGCAAGAGGCAGAGGCAGAGTCGCTTCCCGAGACGCCTTCGGAGAAGACGGCAGTCGGCACTCCCACCCCCGAGCCTGGTTCGAAGATGGTTGCTGCTCCCAAGACCGACGTCGATAAGAATGCCTCGAAGACTACAGGCCTTGAGGATGCCTTCGACAAGCTCGCACTTGATAAGGTCAAGGGCTCCTCAATGTACACGGCGGAGCGTACGGCGGAACGTAGGCAGTACAGTGCCGAACAGCTTCTCGAGAGACGTTCATCGGCTGAGATGCCTCCCGGCATCAAGGATGTCAAGATTCCTCTGCAGAAAGACCGAGGTGGTCGATTGCCTCCTCATCTTCATTTCAACCGTCGCCAGGAGGTTCCCGTCACTGCTTCTACCATGGCTCCTGCTGGAAAAAGCGATACTTTGGTCGAGGTTGAGATCAACAACCAGATGGTCCAGACGCCTATCAAGGAGGCTCCCATCTTCCGGGAGTCTGAGCCTGCGCAGGAGGCTCCTATGCAGAAGCCCGAGATTACTGAGGCAAGCGCCGCTGACGAGTCGCTGATCTCATTCAAGACCAGCAAGTCCGAGGTTGACTCTGCTGTCTCCATGCAGCCCACCTCCACTGCCCCTACCGTTGAGGATGAGACGCTCAGCACCAGCCTTTCTCAAGAGGGCGGCACCGCAGTGTCCATGGCTGAGTCGACGGCTAAGCAGACTGACGCAGCCACCGCTGCTGATAAGTCAGAGCAGCCAACTCCTGTCATGCCGCCTGCGCAGGCCACTCCCCACCCGGGCTACATTCACGGCGTCCAGGGCATGCCTCCCCAGATGCCAACTCCCATCATGGGATCTCCTCACATGGCCGGTCCCGCTATCTACCATCCGTATGGAGCTCAGCAGATCATTGAGTCTGCGATGCAGCAGCACTTGCCCGCTAATGGAGTCTTGCACGCCATCTCCGTGACCTACCACGTCAGCCAGGGACCTTCCTCCGCTCAACAGAACGGCGGCCAGCAGCCTGCGCCCACCATTTATAACATGACTCAACAGCTGAACACTAGCACAGGATTTTCGCCTAGGGCGCAGGTCTTCCAGCCTGTTGTCCAGGGCCAGACTGTCAACAGTAACGGACCCAAAATGCGTCGTGGCCTCGAGAGCTCGAGATTTGCCACTGGATTCTCTGGTGCCAAGTACGCGGGCTCGTTCACCGGAATCGCGGCTGATGAGTAGTCCCGGACTGAGCGGGACGCGTGGATATAGGGGCTTGCATATTTCTGTCTTGGACCGTGGTAATGTGATTTGGGGTGCGGGATCAGCTCACAACATGAATGGAACGTAAATAGGTTTTCGTGAGACAGTGGGTGGAAAGCAGAACAGAAATGGGCCATCATGCCTGGCTTCTAGAGATCATCGCCAGCAGTAGATAGACAATAGCTTTCTTCAAGCCCTGCTTCCCTGATGTGCTTGTGTGTCATGTTTCGGGTGTTGTGGAAGACCTGCGTTCCTCCTTTGTAACTCTACACTTTAGTTTTCTCTTTGACGGTAGAGACCGAGCCAGCCTTCGTTTAATCATGCTATTCTGAGTGGCGGGGGAAGCACTGTCGACTCATTCATTCTCAGGCTTCTTTCTGCTTGGCTAGGGCCGTTCTGTTGAGATGCGATCATGCTTCTGCTGGTGTTTCGATAAGTGACATTACTCTAGAAGTTTCATGACTGAAGTTTGTCGCTTATTGTACTTCATCTTATGGTCGTCTCCATCATGCTGTCTATCAAGTTCAATGCGAATGTTCAACGCTTTCATGATCATTCATTACCGCCCAGACGCTCTTTCAACACGATGATATCCCCCTCGTTCTATAACCCGCCCGATCTCACAGGAAGCACACCTGACCTACTCGTGAACCCATTCGTCATCCTCGCGACTGACGACGACCTCATCAACATCCATCCTGAAATCCACAATCTCGCGCCCGTTTACCAGGTCGTTTTCCCGTGCCCTCTTATCCGCCTCCTCCTCGTCCTTCGCGATGCCCGCCTTGACGTGCCTCTTGACCAGCCTCCTGCGCGCGACCTCGAAGTCGACGTCGACGAACCACAGCTCGTCCATCAGCCGTGCGGCGGCGTTCCAGGGGTCCTTGTCGAGGGCGAGGTAGTTCCCCTCGAAGACGACGATGCGGTGGGACGGGAGGATGGCGATGTCGTCGGGTTTGGGGTCCTTGACGGCGTGGTCGAAGCTCGGGGCGAGGATGGGCGCGGAGGATTCGGGGCCGAGGGGCACACGCAGGGAGGTGACGAGGGCGTGGAAGGCAGGGCCGTCGAAGGTGAAGGCGGCGCCGCGGCGGGCGTGGGCGGTGGACGGGTCCGGGAGGGCGGAGAGCTGGGCGCGGGTGAGGTGGTAGCCGTCCATGGGCACGAAGGCGGCGGGCGGGGCGTGGGTGTAGGAGGTGTCGAGGGCGGAGGCGCGGGTGTTGAGGCGAGTTGTTATTATCTGGGAGAGGGTTGTTTTGCCTGCGAGAGATGTTAGGAGGGGATAAGAAGTGGATGGAGGGGATGTACCTGAGCCTGGGATGCCGGCGATACCTATCACTGTTGGAGGGTCAGCGGTGCATCTTGCGTTGGGTTGGGTGGGGAAAGTTTTGGTCTATGGAGCTCGGAGCTTTGGGAGATGAGGCGCATCAGAGCTTCACGAAGCTCGCGTGATAGCTCCGGCAGACAGAGAGTGGACGTACGTAGGCGTTTATCGGCCGGTGTCTTTTCAAACTTGTCCCAGGCCTTGTCCACCAGTCTCTCGACCTGCTCCTTCATTTTTGTGTTGATTTACCCCAATGCACTATGAGAATCGGGCTGGTATCAGACCAAGAGGTGTCGTCGAGACAAGCGTTTGCGGGATGTCGTTGAGTCGTTTAGCTTGCGGGCAGCTTGAAAGAACGCCCCGCCGGGCAAGGTAAACGCCCCCCCCCCCCCCCACCGACCCCGCCATGCGGCTTGATGTCATTTCCTCGGGGGTGGGTGGCTTTCTAAAAGTTCGCTTCGGCAGGACTTGCTGTGGGCGGGTTTATTAGTAAGAATACACGAAAAATTCTGTTGTGGTGGTTAGATGCATATTCCTGGCTGCGGACGGCGTTCTGTCGCGGGCGACTCGGACGGACTGGTGGAGGTCCCACTTTGGAGGGATTCTCTCGGCGTGCTGTGGGTAACCCAGTCGGCGACGAAAGAGTCACCTAGAAAAATGGGAGAAAGCTTTGCGGTGTCTGGACTCTTTTGGGAAGTTGAGATTCAAGTCAGTCATCAGCAAGTCTGCGTTGGGCAGTATCAAAGACATCGCAATATCCCCAATCATTCCCTGGGGAAGCGGAACTTGCAACAGTCAAGACAAGCAATTTAAAAAATTTGGGGGATAGGATACGCCATCTCGAAACCATTCGGCGACTGCTTGAAGGACTCCAGTCCACTCAAATCCGCAAAAACGACACAACAGCACAATGTCCGACGACGACGGGGGCCTGTTCTGCATCGCCATCGACTCCGACGAAGAGGGCACGGCGAATCCCCGGGACCACCAGTCCGAGGAAGCCTTCCAGGAGCTTCGGGCGACGTACAGAGTCAAGGAGCAGAACGGCGAGGTAAGCCACGAGAGCAGAAATACGCCGCGTTTTCATTATTGAAATGCTTCATTTTCACAATTACATTATTCTTACCTTATCGAGCGCTTCGGGAGGAAGTCCTCTTTTTTCTCCCCCTCCCCGGCCCTGTCCAGAACGCCGAACCGGAGCAACCGAGCCCCCCAAACCACCCCCTCACCGATGCTCACTTTTTTGCTCCACCGCATCCGAGAGACCGCCTTCACCCCCTCATCCTCCCTGCATCCGACTTGCTTACGCACACTGAACGGGAGCAAAACTGATTCAGAATAGGTCTGGAAGACAATTGAGCTGCCATTGACACCTGGTCCGGCCAGCAAGCCCGTGTTGCAAGAACTTTTGCACGCTGTGGAGGAGCTGTACTTCTTTCGGAGGTACGAGGAGGGCGCGGCGTTTGTGAGGCGGGTCCTGGACGGAAGCGAGGCGGCGTTGGATCGGGATACGAAGGACATGCTTAGCCGGTACGAGGCCAAGTGTCGGGGTCGGATGGTAAACTGAATAAAGATACCCGTGTTACGGAAGTGCACTGTTGAGAATGCGATACCCTATCATTCAGTAGTGGCAATTGGGCATGCACGAAATAAGTTTTTCAGGGTGCAAAATTTTGCTGATGATTTCAGTGTGAGGCAGGATGCGGTGTGTGAAGTAGGTGTGGGAGATGTCTATTTTCTCTAAGGAACACTTTCTAATCTCTAGCCCGAAGACCGAAAAAACAATGCTTTGGCAAAAGAGAAATCCCCCCCCCGTGAATGCTCTATCGTGTAGGGGTATTTTTGTTGCCCGGACTCCGTGAATATAAAAATGATTTGTACAAGGCGAGACACTCTCAAATGAGAGGGCTCTAAGCAACGATCTCGCTCTCCATCCCCTCCTCTTCTCGTCTTCAAAAGTCATTAAACCCAACGCCGTCTAAAGCCCATTTTCCGTTCCGATTCTTTAAAAAAGTGTGAAAAAGATGTGATGCTGCCCGCTTTTGTGGTCGAGAGAAATTGCAAAAGGCCGCTACGCTCGCTGCAAACGCAAGAACCGCGCGAAATGGCGATGACGGGAAGAAACTGAAGCAACTCAGTCCTGTCCATCTCATGCCGCCATACCCTCACGCATGCTGCCCTGCTGGCGCTCGCACTCGAACGCCCTCCTGCTCATAGCGAGGACGGTCTCGAAGCCCTCCTTGCCCTTGATGGCGTTGTCGGAGAAGCGGGTGACGAGGGTGTCCTCGATCTTGTTCTTGATCTTCTGCCAGCCGCCGCAGAGGGCGGTGATCTGGGCCTCCTGCGCGAAGAGGGTCTTGTGGGCGCTGATGGGCTTGTAGACGACCGTCTCCTGGACGCTGACGAGGTTGGTCAGGGTCAGGTTCTGGGACACCATGGTGACGGTCTTGTTGGCCGGGTCGACGTAGGACGTCTCGAAGACCTGGGAGTTGCTGCCGTCGCCAAAGATGGGCTTGAGCCAGTCGGGCGGGGACTGCTTGCAAGTGATGAGGCGCTCTGTGCGGAGGATGCCTGTGGCGGGGTCGACGCTGCGGGCGAGGGTGTCGACGGCGACGACGTGGGAGGACTTGTCGTTCCAGGGACAGTACTTTCGCCAGTTGGCGGTTGAGACCTCCTCCCAGGAGTACTCGAAGGTTACTGCGTTGGAGAAGACCTTCATTGTGGAAGTGTTTTTGGTGGTGATGCGGCGGAGATGGGGAAGCTCGTGTGGATGTTTTTTTGCGGGAAACTTTTTCTTCGCGGGTCCTCCACTCGGTTCTGGGTATCGTGTGCGGTCGTGAAGTTCGTTAGGGAGAGTATTACGGCGATGAAAAGGCTTCGAAGAGAGGGTCGAAGCTGAGGCTGTACAGTTGTTTTTTGTTTTTTGTTATTGTTGTCGAGCGAAGCGACGGTGGTGAGTCAGACGCTCGTAAAGGGATTAATGCGCGGTTGATAGGCACCTGCGGATGGGTGGAAGGGATTCGTTGATAATAAAGGGACGCAAAAAAATAAACGGGCAAGGGCGATTGGTAAACCTTGCAAGGAGCTTTCGGTAGGTCGGAGGGTGGAGCGGGTGTCGTGTGCGGGTTTTTTAGGAAGGGGATCTGACCAACCAGGTGCGTGGCAAAAGAAAGGTGGAGACGTAGAGGGAAGCGCGACCGGCGAACTGGGCAGGGTTTCACACTTCAGTGGGCGCTGCGCGTTGGTGCAGCGCTGAGAGAAAATTCTCGCTGCCTCTGTCCCCGCCTGCTGTTGTTGGACCTTGGGTGCTGGTTGGTCCATCCTTAACCCCGGCCGGTGCCCCGGGGAAGGAATGGGAATTCGGGGTGGCGCGTGCGAAGTGCGACGTGCTTGAGCTCCATCTGAAAAGTGGGAGGGAGAGCGCTATTTGGGCCGGCTGAGGCCCATCGACCTCGCCTATCTCTCCTGATTGGGTATGGCGTGCATGAGCGCGATTGAAAAAAATCGGAACGGGCTGGCTGCGGTGTTGCTGCTTACATGTGATTGGCTATTCGGCGGGGCGTCGCAGAGAGAGGGCTTCTGAAAAGCGAGGAAAGCTTCCATTCTATATACAGGGTAACTATTAAATGAACAGGGTCGTTTTGTTATTTTGCCTAATCTAACTGAATTAGGCACTTAAATAGGTTAATATAGCTATACTATAGTAATCTTACTAAAGTCTAATATACTTAAGTTTTTAAATATAAATACTTTTAGCTAAATACTTAAAATTATAAAGCTTTACTTAGCTAAATCTTAGCTTTCTAATTAGCTTAAATTAGCTAGAGTTTTACTTAGTTATTAATTAGTTTCAAAACTCTTTAGATTTAAATAATTTAAAGCCTAAAAATTAGTTTCTTTAATTTTAATTAAAAACCTATTATATTATATAACTTCTAATAAGTATAAAAAAGTATGTTAATAACTACTTATAGCTACTTTTAAGTTTATAATCTTAATAGTAGCTATATCTACTTTAGTAGCTATACTAATAATAATAACTATAATAATAGTATTAAAAAGATAGCTTCCTATAATAATAATAATAATAATCTTAGCTATAAGAGCTAACTTTACTACTATAATATAATAAATACTTCTTAATATTAAAAATCTTCTTTTTATTATATTAGTAATATATCTTCTTATTATTATTATAGTTATTTAATATTAATCTATTATTATTAATAGAGAACTTAATAGCTAGTAAGAGCTTTAATAAAAGTAGTAAGAGTAGCTATTATACCATATTGCTTTATAATCTTACTTATTATTTATTTTAGCTTTTAATATATACTCTTATTATTACTTCTACTCACTTAACTTATAATTAGCGCTAATATTACTAAAGCTTATAATATAAGTATAAACCTCTAAGAGGTTTTATAAGTTTCTTAAGTAGAAAGTATATATTAAGTATTACTTAAGTTAACTATAGGGGGGTTTTTATTATTAGAGAAGTTAGGATTATAACGTTAGTATTAAGTATTTCTCAAAATAATATTTAGATTAAGCTTAAAAGTAAGTTGTTTAACCCTAATTAATTTAAGCTAGAGATATTAGTAAAAGGTTAATAACTAGTAAACTAAAGTACTTATATTACTCTAATTAAGATACTAATAGTTATTAATATCTTTAATATAGAAAACTTTATTATTACTACTATATAGTTAATCTAAGAAAGTATAGTAGTAAAGTAAACCTTACCACTTCTAAAAAGTATTAGTATAAGTAGTAAATAGGCTTCTCTACTACTTAAATATATTTTAATAGTATTATATTAATTATAAAGAAGTTTAAAAGCTTAAAAAGAAATATTATAAATCAAGCTATTAATAAGTTTATACTATCTTTTAGTAGTATATTATTTATAAGCCTTATTGTTAAACTTTATATAGTATTGCTCATACTTCTTAATAACTATCTTATAAATTTTTATATATAAGATATATAGATTAAAGAGGTAGTAAGTAAGATAGGATTTTAACTTATAATAGCTACTTTTAGTAAGTAATATTATCTTATAGTTATAGTTATAAAGTTAATAAATAAAATAGTTAATACACTCTTTAAAGCATAAGATATATATTATCTAGAAGTATTATAGAATATCTAAGAAATTAGTATTAATCTAAATACTATAAAACTATATATATTTAGCTAATTATAAAACTACTACTTAATATATTATTAT